CACACTCACATGCTCCGTCTCAGACCACCCCTAACTCACACCGACAGAGCCTCACACACTCATTGGCACACACATGCCGTCTCACCCCTGCTAACTCACGCACAGACACACACTCACCATCTAACACGCAGGGAAACCTGCCAATGTGCCTCACCCGGCCACAGGGGCATGGGCCCCCCGCAGTATCAGGCCAGCACCGACAGGTCCCGGCGTTGAGGAGGTGTCGGGGTGCTGGCATCCAGCCCACACATCCCTCCCTCGGAACTGCAGGCTATAAAGTCTGGCCCTGGAACTGTACCACAGCGCACGCACAGCGGAGGTTTGTGCAGCCCTGGCGTGGCTTCCTGCTCATGGAACCGAAGCAGCTGGTGGGAAACTGGGTTCCACAGCAGCCCCGGGGACCAGAGCCCTCCCCCACCTTTCCCAACTCAGGAAATGGGGCCAGCAATTTGCTTCTCTGCACTTTGATTTCCTTACACGTAAAGGGGGGGGAGGGAATAAAATCTGTCCTGGAAGGGAGGGAATGAGCGTCCTATTGCCACACAGGTTCTCCGAACCACGACTGCCCCTCCACACAGTCCTCGGTCTCGCCGTAGCTCTTCATGCATTAGCTTATACACACACACACCTTATTTGACAGGGCTTCAACAAGATGATCCACTTCACTGGCTTCATGTCCAGGAACCGTTAAAGACACACAGAAGACCAGGACCACTGGACCAATCCTTCAAGACAAGTGTGCAAAATTCTGGCTGGTTTTCTCAGACATTGCGCTGCAAGAGCTTGAGTTCCAGATGGTGAGCTTGTCAGAAGAGACCGTGAATGGCACGGCCTGGCGTGGTCAGAGTCCCACATGACCACCTGACACCCAGAGCCCTACAACTAGGGGCAATGTCGGTTCAGCATAGGGCTTGTATTAGCAAACCAAGAGGTTCTGCTGCCATTCTGAAGCCTTTGATTCAAACAAGATTAGGAAAGGCCTTTGGATCGAGGTGATGCAGTCCGCTGGAAAAAGTTTGCCAGATGCTGCAGGGAGTAAATGCTCTGTGAATCACAATACTGACTTCTCAGCATTAAGAAGCAGCCTCAGACAAAGGGGAAGGAATCAGGGTCAGAGCCACGGATCACACATGTAATTTAATTCAGTCTTGCAAAATATAGAAATGGAATTAGAAAACCCCAACTTGGAGGTTTCCACAGAAGAGAAATAGCTCTGAGGTATGTGCTTTGCTTTCTGAAAGCAGCGTCGTCCTGCTCTCCAAATGCACATCCCAGTTCTGTAAGTGAAGGGGGAGACCCTTCATCTCTTTTGCATTTCATTTCACAGTTAATTTTTGCACCTAATGTGACGGGAGAGCCCAGACTACCTATGAAAGAGCCACAGCAATGAGACATGTCTCACTCAAAGGCTGCCGCGTTTAGTTTCAATTAGATCAAGTGGGTGCAAGGGGGAGACAGGCCAGTGTATCTGCAGCAGGAGACTGCCCGGGGTGACAATCCTTCTCAAGACATAATTCCAGGGGGCGGATAAAGGGAGCTTGGGGAAAAGCTTTACTTTCTTAACACTGTGAAATATTTTTCATGAAGACTGCCTAGCTGCTTCCACGTGATCTCATACAGTATTTATCAGGGTGCAGAACCTATGATGATGGCATTTTTAGAATGCTGCATTGGGAAATCTCCCGAAGCCCTGTTAGAAAAGCAAAGTTCAAGAATTTGGGAGATGGACCCAATTTTGTTCCTTGGGGATTCCGGCAAGAATTACTTAAAAGGATGAGAAATACAAACCAAAATCCTCAAGTCAGAAAGCGGATTACCTGTGGGACCAGATGTTCAACTAACCCAAGGAGTTTCCTGAAAGGATTATGTCCCATCAAGCTATGAAAAGGCCAAAGGGAACTCTAGCTGCTGCTCTGCTCTGACTGGTCACTCCCATCAGAGTGGACAGTGTCCCTGCCCCTAGAAGCCGGTTTGGCTAGACCCAGAGTAAGATCTCAGCACCCAAGCAGACATTTGAAGATATGCTGGAGACACTCATTTAACAAATACTGATCTTTACTCTGTGCCCGGCGCTGTCCAAGGCCCGGGCCGAGCACTGCAGCAAACCTGCAGTCAGCACAGGCAAGCGAGCGAGCCAGAGGGCAGAGCAGGAAGTGGGCGAGCCAGGAGAGGGGGGCGGGGAGTCCCGCCAGTCTGGGGAGCAGCTGGCGGCACCAGGGGTCTGCAGCCACCCAAGACTCACACACACTCCCCTGAGGGAAGTGAGGTGCCAATGGCTGAAGCATAGCCTGGGGACAACTGTCCACAGTCTAGAGACCCCAAAGCCTTCCAGGACTTGGAACAACTTCAGAGGCCTCACCTAAGGAGTGCTTTTCCTACAGCAGAGCCTATAGGAGAAGACAAAACTGCAAGCTGACATAGCTCTGAGGCTTACGGCAAGGGCTTACTTTTTCGTCCATATACAGAAAATGAAAGGTCATAGGATGGTTAAAATATTTTTGAAACAAAAACAATGTGGTGCTGGTGGAAGAACAGACACATAAATAAATAGCACCAAATAGAGAGCCCAGAAATACATCAACATAAATATGCCCAACCAACTCTTAACAAAGTAGCAAGCAAAATTCAAAAGGGATAGTTTTTCACTAAATGGTGAGGAGACCATCTATCCATGAGTTAAAAAAATGAACCTCCCTTGACACCTTGTTACACCTCATTGCAGCACTATTTACTATATGTAAGATATGGAAACAACCCAAATGCCCAAACATAGATGACTGGATCAAGAAGATGTGGTATATATACATGATGGAATATTACTCAGCAGTCAAATAGATAAACTCATGCCATTCACAGAAACATAGAGCATGAATGGAGGAGTCATGCTCAGTGACATAAGCCAGAAGTAAAAAGAAAACTATTGAATGGTTTGACTTACAGGGGGAGTATAAGGAAAACAAGTAAGGAATCAGGGCGACAAATAATAATCAAAGAAACTAGCAGGCAACCTCCCTCTGCAAGGGAGGAGAAGGAAAAGAGATCAAAACAGGGGAGAGAAGAGCCCAAAGGATGATAGTGATGATTCACCAGTGAACTGGTGGTGGGAATTTTATGGGGACTACATGATGATGTAAAAGATACAAATTAAAAAATTAATCTCCTTTTAAACATCACACGTTAAGCAAAAACTAACTCAAAATGGATCATGAACTTAAGAAACGCAAAGATCTTTGGGAAAACATATTTAGGAGAGAATCTAGGTAAGCAGCTCACTACAACCTATAAAGGAAAAAATGATGATCTGGACTAAAAGTAAACCACATACCCAAATACCTAACAGAGCCCTTATATAAAGAACATTTAAATGTCAGCATTTAAACCTTCTAAAATGTTCATAGTAGTGTTGTTCGTAATAGCCCAACGCCAAAAACTACCCACTGTTTAACCCTGCAAAGGACGAATGCCTAAACAAACCATCCCTCCCTACCAGGAAATGGTATTCGGCTATTAAAAGGGAATAAATGATCGTTATACGCAGCAGTTTGGATGAACTGCCAGGGCATTATGCTGAGTGAAAAAAGTCAGTCTCCAAAGGATGCCTACATTCTTCCACAAGAAGGCACTGGTGCATAAACACGTAACGCATAAACACAGAGCTGGAGAACAGGTGAGCAGTTTCCGGCATTGGGATGGTGGAGGAGGAAGGGCCAGGATGTAAATGAGGACACAGGAGCCGGAACCGTGGAGACTGTGCGGTTGGGCGTCTTTACTATGGCGGTGGTTAAGCAAGGCTGCACCCGTAGTGTGTATAGCCACAGCCACGCACACGCACACACACAGGTGAGAGCATGTACAGCCACTAAACCCAGAATAAGCTCTAGGGCTGTACCAAGGCTACTTCCTTGTCTTGATACTGAGCCAGAGTTGGGAGGCTGGGGGTGGGCGGGGAACTGTGTCTTTGCAACCGCCTGAGTACACATAACTATTTCAAAATGCAAAGTTTTTTAAAATTGATCACTTAACCAGTATGTTATAATGTGGAGCAGTGGGGGTGTGACGCCTGATTCTCAGGGCCACCCCAATGCACCAACACACCAACGGACCAATGTATCTGGTTTCTTCTCAGCTGTTGGAATTTTGTTTCTACCAAGATAGTAGCAATGTTGAAATGGCTCTTTACAGGATTTTTATAAGTTAGGGAAAGCTGCTGGGAGCAAGGGAGGTTTTTCTCTTAATGACTATTAATAACAAGCATTAATTAATGAAAGATTAATAGAGCTTTTAAAAGTATGTAATTTTCAGAGTGCACAATTATGCAAGAAAAAGATGAACAAACCCGAGAATAATAGAGAAGTCTTTTTAAAAATAAATTGGCAATGGAATGTATTTTTTAATTACTAATGACTATAACTGATTAAAGCACATTGAATTTATTAAATTATATGTTCAAAATGATATTCAGAAAAGAGAAAAATGAAATAAACTCAGCAGACACCACTGGAAGTTGCTAAGGCAACAATTCATTACGATGGAAATTAAAGAAAAATAATTGATTTTGGATTTCTGGCATGAACTGTGTTTTACATTAGTGAAACTGGGTGGCAGAAAGTTCTCCAGTACACAACGGTTTTTTCATAAATGCAGATGGAGTAATAGAATTAGAAAGCTTATTGCAAACACTAACAAAATAACTGAGGCAGGCACTGGGCCCTCTAGGTAATAACCATTAGGAGCAAAAGCACCAAGAACTGGATGGTCGTCACCTGACCCCACTGAGCAATCTCTGCGTCCTGAAAAGGGGTCCGCTGAGACCCCAACCTCCTCCTGCTGCGATTCAGCAGACATTCCAGCACAGATCAGTTTTTACCTAGAATGAGAAGGATGCTACTTCCTAGGAGTGAAGCCATATGCAATTTGATCAAGTCCATCAAGTTCATCCAAGAAATAAAAATGCATTTACTGTGGTCACATAAATTCAGGGGCTCATCCATGAAATTTACCTCAAATATGATCAGTGCATAGACCCCAGCAAGGATGACGGCAGCAATGGTCACCTGTGCTTCGACACTTGCTCGGAGGTACTGATGAGCCAGCAACAGAGGCACGACTGGGGTCTGCTGGAAGGCGGCGCGGACCCTGATGGACACGGCCTCTCTGCGGATGAACAAAGATCTTACTTGGGGAAAGGAGAGGACCCTGAGGCAGCAGTCAGTGCGTCTTCTTCCACGCTCTGCCCCAGCCACCCATGCTCACCCAGAGCCTCACCAATCTCAGAGTGGCCGGCCTAACACCTGTCCGGCAGATAGGCCCTCTGGGCACGGGTGAGGGGGTGGGACCCAATGGCCAGTCCCGGAAGCAGGCTGCTCAGCGCCATCTTACAAGTCCATCAATCAGGAGCACGGACTTGCACATTCGTCTCAGCCATTTAATTTCCCCGCTGCCTCCTCACCACACACCAACTTCATCTGCTACCAATAGCAAAATCTACTTTTGAGACCTTCAGGTCGGAACAGGGCCATGCAGGATGGAAGGCAGGCCACAGTGAGAGTGGGAAAGGGCACTAGGCCCAAGGAGCTGGCTGGTCACCCAGAGGCCACAGGTCAAACACCACAGGACAATATGGCCCCAGGACCTGCTGCCCAGGACGTACCTGCTCAGGACTGCGAAGCTCCTGGTCACCACTGCACGCTCACTTCTCGGGTTTAAAAACACCGTCCAGTTGTAACTGACCTGGAAAAGCCAAGCTCCATTCAAATTGGTTTTTCTCTGGTTGATCTGTCTGGTGCCCATTTAATTAAATAGGGGATTAAAGAGGGGGTGTAGCCCAAGGGTGTAGGAGCTGACTTGGATAAAAGGAGAGAAGGGAGCAGGGAGGCCTTTACCCAGCTAGGAGGGAAAGACGAGACATTCCCTCCTGGCACAGGGCGGGCGCCCCTCACGGGGAGACAGACATCATCAGCTGTTTCTCAAGTAACGAATTAAAAATAACATAGAGGCAGCTTTGGCCCAGTCAGGCCTGCTGCGTGGAGCCCTGAAGACGGTGCTGCCCCTGTCGTGGGCTTTCTGTACCCTCGAGGGTCACGCACAAAAGGGGGTGCTGAGCTCTGGGGCCTGGCTCGACAGCTGAAGTGTCTTAGGAAGACCACACCAGGTGCCAAACCTGAGGCACTGTGGTGTGGAGGTGACTTCTGTTCCGGGAAAAAGGCCCAGGTTTACTCACACTTCAGACATAACAAACCTCGAGTTTCAAATACATCCTCTTTCTCTGAATGGCCCAGTAAAATCATTCTGGATTAAAAAGAAAAAAAAATCCTCACCAGCCTGGTTTTACCGAACTGGTGAGAGTTTATAATTGACTTGCAGAAATGGGAAAAGGAGACTTTCAAAGACAAAGCAGAAGATAAGCGTCGAGGGCCTGTCTCATAATGGTGACACTCCCCATCAAATCCATTCAAGAGGAAAGTCAATTTATGAAGAGATGAAATAAGTTGTTACAATCCCTTTCAAACAACTCAAAGTACCTGCTGCGGCCTCCGTCGCCGGGAGCCCGGAGCCTCGGCCTGGGTCACCTCCACCACCACGTGCTCCTCTCTCCCAGGCCCACTTGGGCCGCCGGCCACCAGGGCCCCATCCAGGCTCACCTGGAGCAGCGTGGCGTCCACATGGCTGCTGAGGTTCACAGCTGGGGGGTGTGTCAAGGAGAAACACAGGGCAGCCAGAGACGTCTACAGCCCCCCTCACCCGTCCAGGCACACCCTCCAGGGAAGGCACCCCATCTCTGCTGTCCCTCACTACTGCCTCCTGGCATCAGCACAGCACGGTTTCAGCCTGTGTGCTTTGGGGTTTCTGGTGTAACATGGTGGAGGGGACTGTGAACCAAACAGTCTCCATCTGGTCTCTAACCACCTAGCTGGACTTGGGGGGGGGGGGCGCCAGTCCTGAGTCATCTCCATGTCTTGTTTACATGGGTAAATACAAAAGGACAAGTGACTCTCTCTTCCCACCCAAAGGTTGCAAACAAAGGAGTAAGCTAAGTTAGACCACGTTTCTGCCTACCCCTTAAAACTCCCCCCATGCCCCACCCTGGTGGAGGCTCCTTGGAAGGCCTAGTGGTCCTAATCCCTGTTTGCGAATAAACGTCCTTATGATATGTCACAGCCTGATTATTTCTTGTCGTTACCATCAGGGGTCCTTAGCAGTGACCTTAGCAGCTCACTGGTTATAGTAGGATTCAGCAGCCAATATCTCTGGTCTTCCTTCACCCCCTAAAAGAAGCTGACTAACAGAGCAGCCTCAGGGAGAAATCAGGGCCTCACTTCCGCCAGAGCATCTGTACGATTTGTACAGAGAATTGAGGGGTGACACAGAACAGTTCACCTTTTTTCACTATCTAGTTGCTCCAGCAAAATGTACAATAGCTCTCAGGTAAGGAAAAGGTTTTATCCACGTATATATGAGGGCCCACGACAGCCGTCCATGGCGCTGGCTAGAAAGCTTCTGCACCCACCTTTGCTTTGGGACCCAAAAAGGGCAAAGAAAAAAGGAAGTTACACATGAGGCAGGATGTACTGAGGGGAAAAAAAAAAAAAGAGAGACATTGCTGCTTCTTCCACACGGAAATTACTCCTGTCTCTAGGGCAGGGAGAGGAAATGGAGTGGGAAGAAGTATTTCAGCCAAGGCTGGACCCCACAGCCCTGGTAGAAACTCAGGAGGTGGAACAGCGCCACCTGGAGGTCATCATCAGAAGAGCAGCGGTTTCTCGGGAATATTTGTGAAGCACCTCTTGCTTCCAAGAGTGAAAGGAACTAAGTAAGGCCATCGTCCTCCTGGCCTCATGGCCTGATGGGGAGACAACCAGGCAACAACTAAGTAAATCTTTGATTAATCACCCCAATGCATTGCACACAAAATCCAAGGGACACTGGAACACACACACTTTCATTCATCCTTTTCCTTGTTTCCAGATGCCTGCCAAGTGCTAGGATTCAAAACCCCCCTGGATATTCTGAAGTCAACAGAAGGTTTAGGTTGTGCCGCAGTCTGGCACCCTGACCATGGTAGCTTCTGGCTACATGCTTCTCACACCTGCCTTCATGACAAGTTCTCCCCCAAATCCGCAGACACCTCTCTTTTGGGGTGTCACTTAATCTCTCCTCTCCTTAAATCCTTCCTCATCACCCACCATGCCAGTGGGTGCTCTTGCTCCTTCCGCTCTCTGTCAGGGCTCTGTTAGTGTGTATTCACACCATACTGTGGTTTGCTGTAGATTCTTCTCTCCAATTGCTCTAGTTCCCCAAGGGAGGAAACTCCATCCTATTTATGTCTCTACTTCTCTGGAGACTAATGCTACTCTAACACTTTACATTTCCTTAACAAGTACTTATTTAAATAATACATATCTGCTTACAGCATCATCCCTAACGTTCTCTAAACCTAGACTGGTTTCCTACCCAAAGGAATTATGGGAGCAAGAAGTCACAGAGTAAAAGCCTCCTACCTCTGGCTACATCAGCCATGGCTCCCCTGCTTCCCCACAAGCCAACTTCAAAACAGAACTTAACAGCCCCTCCACTAACTCCCTGCCATCCTGTGACTCCCCACCCCAGACTCCTCCTCTGAGTACTTGGTAAATCATCTCCCTGCTTGGCCTGTAAGGAACATGACCACGTCCTGGGTCCTGGTTGACATAATGCTGGTGGTTGTCCTGGAAGCCCAAGCCTGGTGGGGGAAAATACACATGAACAGAGCACTTCTGAAGAGCAGGCATGGAACAAGACGTAGAGTCCTTTCAGGTTCACCCTCCAGTTTGCTACGAGACAAGTAAATGCTCAATTAACAACTAGCCAGGATTTCCTTACTGACCAGTTTAATAAGGTTCCTCTGACAGCCTTTTCTCCACTAGGCCTTGTTCTTGACCTGACCAGTCCAGTTCATCCAAAATTTGCCCACTCCTGATACCCGACCTCCTCAGTTTTCCCAATTTCCCATTCCCTCCTCTCTCTGCCAGTTGACAGGTGCCCAGCTGTGCCTGCTGTATTTAGGCTTGAGTTCAATCTTTCCCTTATTGCGTAGGCATAAATAACGTCTCCCTTGCCCACTTAACGTCATGCAGTGCAATTTTTATTTGACATACCCTTTGCTTAATTGAATGAATGTAAGAAAACGGGGCCTCTGTAGACCCACCTTAATGAAAACAGGAGCAGTGTTATTGGAAAAAGCATGAAAGATAAAGGAAAGAGAGAGTCATACAAAACAAATCTCTGGTGCCAGCACTTGGAACCAAAAGGAAAAATAATTGATTTCTAGAATGTCACTGGCCAATGGAAGTATCAGTGATGATAGAAATGTTTCCTATCCCTACTGTCTGATACAGGAGCCAGAACCGCATGTTGCTGGTGAGCACTTGAAATGTGGTTGGTGTGATGAGGAGGTAAAACTTTCTTCATTCATATACCCAGGAAAAGCCATTAATATAACTTGGAAGGTGGCCAGTGGTTACCATCATGAGCAACATAGTTCTAGAGTATTCTAAGGAACTTGGGATGCAAGAGAGAAAGAACAGGGGAACATAAAACACTTAAATGTGTACAATGAGCCATGTCCATACCCTGAGAGTCTAGGGCGACTAGGAGAGATGTGATGAGAAGCAGACCATATGCCAAGAAGTGGGAGAAGGGAAGAGGGAAGGAGCCAGTGAGCAAGCTTAACTGATCTGCTTTTATACAAACTGGCTGCTGACCACTATCCATCTGACTAATGGTCTATGAGCCTTGGCCAGCTCTCCCCTATACCCAGCACAATTATTCAAGTGCAAAAATCTCAGGTGGCTGCAATCTCGGCCACTTCCTGTTTTGCAATGCTGCTAAAATAAGCCCTGCAATTACTGAGGTGACGCAGCCCAGCTGTGACAAAGGACACATAAAAGTTTGCTGGGAAGAGGTAGCTCTTAGTCTCCCACTTAAGGAGAATGATGTTTCCCCCAAAAGTACCTCCTACAAAACACACACCCCTGGGGGCTGTCACCCAGGCTTTCACCTGGCCCAGCCCAGGCAGAAGGCAGGAAAGAAGCACACAGGGGCTCTCTTCCCACGAGGACCACTGTGAGAACATCGCTACTGGTTTTTCAATCCAGGCGTGTATCACTTCCTGTCTTGGGCCTGCATCCAAAGCCCCTGGGCTGAGATCAGCTGTACCACACCACCACATCCTGAGATCTTTCCTAGGGCCCTGTGGCAAATGGCTCCCTGGGGTCTCGAGGGGAGGCATCTTACCTCTCTTTGCACAAACCTCCGCAGTGGTTTCTCAGTCTAGGGTCTTGGAAGAGGGTCTGTGAGCTTCCAGGAATTGACGGGGAATCCAGTGAACACTGCATTTTCTGAGGCACCGGTGAGAAGCTCAGAGCAGCACTAGTGGAAGGATCAACCTTCTCCCTTCAACCAAACCCTGCAGGCTCCTCTGAACTCTCTTCCTGAAGGGACCTGACTCTGAGGCTTCTCAGTTCATCTCTACATTGGCCAATTTTTCCAAGAATCCTGTGCCAGTCAAGCCCAAACCCCTGTTCCCACATCCATCACTCTCCAAATCTGATTAGAGTCCTTGCTGCGCCCCCACCCCTGGGGTGATGTCTGGTCACCTGGCCCACCTGCCAGCAGGTTCCACAACAGCAATCCTGAGAGGTCAGGTCAGCCACAGTCACAGAAGAGCAGTTTCACATCTTCCTATCAACTCTGCCTCCAGGAACCCGCAGGGAAGATGGGGAGGTTGAGAAGCCCAACAATGTCCCTCCTACCTGGTTGGGGGCAAGAATAGCATCCTTTCCCAGACTCCACACAAACCATCTCTTCCTCTCCCCTAATGATTCTTGGGAATCATTAGATCTTGTAGCCTGAAGCCATGCCGGAAACCCCTCAGCTGGGGCGCAAGGGGTGGGTGGCGGGGGGGGGGGGGGAGAGAAGGGAAGCTCTATACCTGTATGCACAGCCTCTCAGACAGCCAGGGAAAAGCCAAGAAAGTCCCAGCATTTGAGCTCTAGAGATTACCACAGCAACCACCAACCCCAACACCTCCCAGCCTCTGATGAGACACCAACCCCAAACTAATACCTACAGAAGTTAGGGTGTGCTCATCTCCTAGCTGAACACTTTGTCAGTGTTCTGAACTGAATGTCAGTGTCCCTCTAAATGCCCTGGGTTGAAGCCCAGGCCCCCAGTGTGGCTGTATTTGGAGATGGGTCTCTGAGGAGGTAACTAAGATTAAATGAAGTCAAGGTACAACCCCAATGCAACAGAAGGAGTGTCCTCAAAAACATCAATTCAAAAGAACACCTGCACCCCCATGTTTATGCAGCACTATTTACAATAGGGAAGATGTGGAATCAACCTAAATGCCCAAAACTAGATGACTGGATCAAGAAGATATGTACATATACACAGTGGAATATTAAATACTCAGCAGTCAAAAAAGATAAATGCATGTCTTTTGCAGCAGCATGGATGGAGCTGGAAGGGATCATGCTCATTGAAATAAGCCAGAAAGAAAAAGAAAAATACTGGATGGTTTCACTCATAGCAGGAACATAGGGGACCCAGGGAAAGAGAGAGAGAGAAGCAATTGTGATAAAGTAAAAACGAAAGCAACTAACAACTTTAAACCAGAGACATGGTATGAGGTGGAGAGGGGAATAGGATCAAAACTAGGGAGGGGCCCTTCCTGGTGGCGCAGTGGGTTAAAGCACAGCACTATGAAGCTAAAGCCACTGCAGCATGAGTTTGAACCCCGCCCTGGAGGTGACCCACATGGCACAGAAGACCTCTCCTGACCCGCCCACTGCTCCCCTCAACAGTGTACTTCGACAGTCAGCCTGTTCTGATCCCCAGTCTGTTTCTGGTGAATCCTCTCACTGTCCCTGCACCTCTAGCCTGTACCCCAGTTCTGTATGCATAAATAAATATATCTTTAAATAAAAAAACTGGGGTGGGAAAGGTACACAGGACTATGATGATGGCACACAGGTAAATTGGGCATGGGAAGCCCACAGGGATTACAACTGAGATGAAAAATGCACAAAATGAAAACTGATGTAAAAATAAATAAATAAAAATTAATATATATATATATGTATACATATATTAAAACAAAACATAAATAAAAAGGAATGAGTGTCCTTACAAAATGACACCAGAGACACCAAAGCAAAGGCTCTGTGAGGACAGAAAGAGCCAGCCAGGAAGAACATCTCACCAGAAACCAAACCTCCACAACTGTGAGAAGTAAATGTCTACTGTTAAGCTACACAGTCTATGATGTTTTGTTATGGCAACTGGAGCTGTAGTACCACAGTTGGCTCCTAACAGAAGGTGAGAAAGCCTTAAAAATAGCAAGAGGAAGATCATGAAAAAACCAAATAATCACCAGCCCCTGATGACACAGCCAAGGAAAGAACCGGCGAACCTGAAGACAGGTCAGTAGAAAGCACCCAGCTACAAGGCCAAGTGAAGAGGGGCGGGACGCGGTGCTGAGGACAGAGTGCCCAAGAACTCTGGGAAAGCCAGGCCCTAAATAAGGAACCACTGTCTATCCTCACCCTGTGGACCTTAATCAACCACCCATCACAGTCTCACTGCCTCCCTCCCTTCTTGGGCTTCCAGGGCTTCATCTTTGATTAAATGGAAAATCTGGAAAAACAAAACGCATGGTGATCTCCTACGCAGCGGCCTCTGGACACAGCTGTGCAGGTCCTTGAATGTGGTTTCACTCTGTGAATCTCAACCCTGCCGGCATATGTTTCGGATACAGTAGCTTTCCACCGGTGATACCGCCAATAACTGCCAGAACTTTTCTTGATCTGGATACAGGCTAAGTAATGTCTGAAACAACCAAAAATACGTCATGGTAGATTTGTGGGGGGAGACAGGCAGGAGTTAAACAATTCTGATTACAGTGGAAACTAGAGGTGATGATGCCGAATGATGTGTCCAAAAATCACCAGCTCCCTCTCAGTCGCTCTTTGAGACACTAAGAAATAAGAATTCGATTTGGTGTACTATTTTCTGTTCTAATGGGCCTTGGTTATTGACATTTGTCAATTTTTAACATTAAGTACCAGCTACAAAATTAAATTGTCTGGAGTAGATAAACATGTCTTTCCTTCCCTATTATTGAGTAAAGACTACAACCTATGTGAAGGTGTGGTACGTGTTTGTGGAATTCGCAGAGCAAGTTATACACCATGAGAATTTACATTACAGTGGTGATAAGACAACGAAATCATAGAAAACTAATTCCCCAAATTCTACTTTGATGTGTCCACACTCCACCAAAACCGTCTCTCAGAAGAAGACCAAAGACTAGACAAGATCTCAAACCAGCTCTCAGGGGGACCAAGTGAGACCCAGCCCACCCTGCTCCCCTCAGAAACCCGGGGCTCCCCCGCCCCCGAGCTGGCCCCGGCCAGCAGCACAGCCTTCAGGACCACAGTTCTGTGAACAGGAAGACCAATGGCAAATCGGTCACCAAAACATAAGACCACGAAGTTCTTAGAGTTCAACGTAATTGTTGTTTCATGCACAGATTTCATCTCTCTGGGCCATTGTGCCCCTCGTTTGTGGGTTTTTAATGAGTTGCTTGTGCTCAATTCTGCTCAGCCAGCATTGACTTCATACACCACCCTTGCTGTTTAAGATACAAGACTGCTGTCTCTATGTCACCCTGGGGAGACTCACATCACACATGCAGAGTCTGCTCCCTCTGATCACACACACAAATCATGAAAACCAAGCTGCACAGGGTCAGACACTCAGCTTCCAGGTGTGTGTAGCTGTCACCATGGCTGCCTGTGCAGGAGAATACATCTCGCCCCAGATTAGAACCAAGACAGAGTAAAGACGCCGAGATACATCTCGCCCTGGGCCCCACACCGCACACAGAAACACCACCCGAACACCTTGACCTTCCTCAGAATCCTACCCCTTCTTATGCCAATGCCTAAAGCTGGTTCTCACCCAAAAGTAATTTGCCAAGCACAGTATGACCCCAAATGGTCAGAGACATGGCCTACATGTCCCACACAAGCACACACACAACAGGGCCCAGGGCCTTCACACCCTGTGTGTGGCCACACACAGAATCCACACACCCACTCACTTGGCAAAAATATCTGAGCACCTGCAATGTGGTCCCAGGGGAGCTGTATCAGGCCGCGCAGCCCATAGAAGTCTAGTGAGATACGTGACCCCTCGTGTCAAAGGGCACCCTCAGGTCACCTCAAGAGTGCTAGTTCAGTGGCCCTTCAGGGATGTCTGGGCAGTAAAACTGGAGCAGCCCCAAAGAAGGGGCAAGCATAGAGCATCACTCCCTCTCAACAGGGAGGCCCAGCCAGATGCAAGCCCAGGCACCCTCTCAGAGTGACGGCTGGACACATCCCAGCACAAATAAAGACAGCTGATGGCGTGTATTTAAGAAGAGAATTCTGGGGATTCCTTGGTGACTTAGGGGTTTAAGTCTCAGCACTATCACCACCAGAGCCTGAGTTTCCACCCCCGGCCAGGGAGCTGGCCCACATGGCACAGCAGACCTCTGGTGAATCCTCTCACCACCCCCACACCTCTGGCCTACACCCTGGTTCTACTATGCAAAAAATTAATTTTTTTTAAATAAGATAAAGAGAGAATTTGATAAGCCATTTGAGGTAGGAAGTGAGACCCCAGGGGTCAAGCTAACGAACTTCTAGGGAGCAAAGCAGGTCACCTGGCTTCTGTCTTGTGACTGGGGACTATAGCAGAGGAGTCAGCCGGCCACCCCACACCCCCTCACATATTCTCCCAAGAAAAAGATGAGCTCCCTACCTCTGGGGCCCACTACCCAGCCCAGGGCATCCAGGGTCAGCCTAGGTACTCACCGAACAGGCCACCACAAAGACAAACAGGCTGATGACTTTCAGCCACCGTGCACAGCGCCTGCAAGAGAGGAGTCACACCTGGCCCTGCGGAATCCCAGACCCTGAGAATCTCCACCTAAAAGCGAGGCTCAAAAGTCTCCCACACATGGTATGCAGGAGGCCACCGCTCACCTGCAAACCTGCCACCTCCAGAAAAGCAGTTGTTGGAGGAGAACAAAATCACCTCTGTGCACTTTCACACGGCTTCCTATTGAAGGTGTGTGTGAGGTTTGTGCCTTTTTTTTTTTTTTTAAGATTTATTTATTCACACAGTGCTGGGGTACAGGCCAGAGATGCAGGGGTGGTGAGAGTCTTCACCAGTGACAGAGTTGGGAGCAGAACAGGCAGATCAATGAGGTACACTGCTGAGGGGAGCAGCGGGCGGGTCAGGAGAGGTCTGCCACGCCATGTGGTCACCTCCGGGGCAGACGGGAATCGAACTCATGCGGAAGCGGCCGCAGCCAGCTTGCAGTGCTGCCCTTTAACCCGTTGTGCCACCAGGGAGGGCCATCAGATTCATATTTTTCAATTGATTTCCCCCCAATTTTCCTGAAAGGTGGGAATATGGATTTGACCAACACTTACAATACTGACAGAGGAGAAAACCAAAAGTTCAGGGAAGAAAATTGCAATGCTGTGGCTGGCTGTACAGGCGGAGCCTTTTAAAGAATTGCATGGGAGAGGACATATCAGGGGACTCCCTGGGATTAAGTCTCAGCACTATGAAGCGCTCCGCAGCTACTGCAGCACATGTTCGATCCCGAGCCCCGGAGGTGACCCACGCGGTGCGGCAAACCTCCCCTGACCTGCCCGCTGCTCCCCTCAGCAGTGTACTTCATCGATCTGCCTGCTCTGCTTCCCACTCTGTCTCTGGTGAATCCTCTCACCGCCCCTACAGTTCTGGCCTGTACCCCAGTACTGTATGCATAAATAAGCAAATCTTTAAAAATAAATAAATAAATAAATAAAAAGCATACACAATCAGGCCACACACTTGTGCCGCCCTGTGAGGCCCCTGATGCCTTCATGCCCCAGTGGCCACGACACATTAAACTTTGCCCTCATGTCTCAGGTGAGCTGGGCCTGGCCTGCCCTATGTAGCCTACCCGGCTCATGTCACCTGTCCAGGGCCCACACTACCACCGCCCCACAGAGGGGTGCACACAGGCACAGGGGTTTGAGGCTCATACTTGCTTGTGAGAGGAAGTCCAGATTAAGACACTCAAGACCTTTTCTGACCTCTTCAAAATAGTAAAAATTTGTTCTGCATTCTTGTAGATTTAATGAATTTGATGAATAATCATTTCACACTTCCAAATTATGATTCAACAGCTCTGATTTAAGTGGGAATCAAAATGACACCTCTTCCTAAAGCATGGAGCATTAATAGAGCTGATCTAAATACAAATTTCGCTCTATATACTGACAAATGCAGCAGACTTGGCAATCCAAAATGTTTTTTACAAGTTTCTTCATGATCACCATGGTGTTCATGTCAAAAACAAGGGCATTCAAGTGTGTTAGTTCTGTGGCAAGCTCAAGGCAATGATTCTGTGAAACACAGCAGATAACCAAACAAAGAACAAGGTGTCCAATGCATTTGATGCTCTTTTTCCAAGACGTGGGATAGTTGGGGTCCTGTCCTCCTCTAGAGCCGGAGCCCGCCAGCTGGAGAGGGGCATTGAGGGTGCGGGGCTCACCATCCTGGTCACTGTGGAATGGGACCCCTGTTCACACAATTTTACACGATTCAAATAATCCCCTAGCACATCAGCAAGTGCTTGCTGCACTTACAAAGGGGGTTGAGGCCAGTCACCTAGAAGATCTCCACAGGGCTGGGAGGCATGCCAGCAGGTGAGGACCTGGGGTCAACCAGCCTCAGCTCACAGCTGTGTGCCCTTGGGCTTCATGTCCGTACCCTGCTGGGTGCCTTCCTTTAACCTAGCACTGGCCACTCAACAGTCCCTCATACTTGTTTGGTGCCCCCACCCCGTTCTGTGCATGCACAGCCTCAGGGTTCACGTCCCCCATGGTGGTAAGGTGCCTGCAGTTTCCCCCAGGATGGCCCCGCCCTGGGTGCAGATCTTCTAGTAGTGTGCTTCTTCTCTGACTGCAGGTGAAAGCCTCAGCTTCTAAAACACCAGGGGGACCCCTGAAGCAAACCAGTGGTCAGGAAGATGCCAGCATGACCAGCAAGAAGGACAGATTAGGATGTTAATCAATAGGGTTTGTCATCCGGCTTTCTGGTAGACCACCAGCTCCACCGTAATTTGCAGTACCACCTTGAATAGGGAAAAGGGAATCTTCCAGGAAAAGTGTTGATTCACTCAATGTGAAAACCTCTCCCCCTCGCTGCAACCTGCCAGTTGGGAAGGACGAATGAAGCAGAGACCCCAGCCCAGTCCCAGGCAAGCAGGAGGGGCTGAGGCCATTGCCCTGCACAGGGCCGAGGCTCCATATCATCTTACCTCATCTTGGAAAGACGGAATCTGCTGGGCGCACTGTCCAGAAGGTCCCCCTTCTCGTGAGAAGCAGAGCTAGATGAACCCGCCCACTCAGCTAAGCTGTTCTCCCAAGACTCATCGGCAGTGATGAAGTCGGGGTGGTAAGTGGGCATATACCGGGACCTGCAAAGCAAGGCTCTTCAGTTAGTTTTATATTAAAAACATATGGTATTTTTATGGTTCTATCACCCAATCTCAGTGGTGAGGTGTGAAATGTTAAATCAAATCTGATGCTTTTTTTTTTTATTCATACAGAACTGGGTACAGGCCAGAGATGCGGAGGGTGAGAGGATTCGCCAGAGACAAAGCGGGGAGCAAAACAGGCAGATCAACGAAGTACACTGCTGCGGGGAGCAGCAGGCGGGTCAGGAGAGGTCTGCCGCGCCATGTGGTCACCTCCGGGGCAGGCGGGGATCGAAGTGGCTTTAGCTTCTTAGTGCAGTGCTTTAACCCGCTGCGCCACCAGGGAGGGCCACAAATCTGATGTTTTAAACATAGATGCGCAGTGCTATCAGCTGGGAGGCATGGGTCTTCCTTGACATCACAGGAGAGCAGGCTCAAGGGAAAGCTGGGATTGCTCAAGACTTCACAATGAATTGTGGATTTCAAAAAACATCCACTTGTTCTGAGTTTGGGACTTTGCAGTGAGGTTTGTTTCTGGCTTAGACAAGCTCCAGCTCTTTTTAATATCTCCCTTCTCTCTGAATGTGCTGGACTTCTCAATTCCTAGTCACACTGGCTCTGAAGCAGAGTGGAGTGAGTGTTACAACCTTCCTTCTCTGTGTCACTAGCTTTCTGTAACAGAGACGTAGGGAAGATGGGCTGCCTAGCTCTTCCACCCAGCATCTACACAAGCATGAACAGAGTGGGGGGCATCACATTAGTGCCCAACTAGGCTGGCCTGAGAACAGCACCTGTATCTAAAACAATGAATCAAGGGGAAGTCAGAACTTGTATCAAAATGAATGGTTGACTCCCTGGGCATCTGAACAACAGTAACAGTATCCATGCTAATAAGGTAGCACCAAAGCCCATAATTTGCATATATTGCATAGAATATTTGTAGATATAACAGCAATGATCTATAAAATCAAATGATGCCACTCCAAACCAGGTAGCTCAGTGGGGCACTGTGATTTTCCTGACACTTAGCCTATCATCATGGGAGAATTGGTTCATTAAAAAAAAATATTGCAGTTCCTCCCTGGTGGTACAGTGGGTTAGGACACAGCACTGCAAGCTGGCCACAGCTGCTTCAGTGCGAGTTCGATCCCTGGCCCGGAGGTGACCCACATGGTGCAGCAAACTTCTCCTGACCCACCCGCTGCTCCCCTCAGCAGTGTACTTCATCAGTCTGCCTGTTCTGCTCCCCACTCTGTCTCTGGTGAATCCTCTCACTGCCGTGCACCTCTGGCCTGTACCACAGTTCTTAATGCAAAAATAACCAAATTTTTTTAATGCAGTCTTATTCATAAGAAGCCCAGCATTCCAGAGTCCACTATTTAAAACCAGTGTGCAACTTATAGTAGGTAAGATATGGACAACCCAAATGCCCAAAAGTAGATGGCTGGATCAAGAGATGTGGTTTATACACACAATGGAATACTATTCAACAATCAAAAAGGATAAATCCATGCCATTTGCAGCAACATGGATGGAGCTGGAAGGGATTATGCTCAGTGACATAAGCCAGAAGAAAAAAAAAAAACATCAGATGGTTTCACTCACACGAGAAATATAAGGGAATCAAATAAGGGAGCAGGGGGGGAAAGACAAAACTAGCAGGCAACGATAAATCAGAGACATGGTGCAGAAACAAGGGAGGGACAAAGATTAAAATGGGGGGAGGACACAAGGGACTATGGTGATGGTACACAGGTAACTTGGGGGTGGGAATTTTACATCTGAGAGGACAAATCAAACATTGTATAAAAATGGACAACGATGTAAATACATTTATAAACGAATACTAACAAAATAAAACCAATGTGTAACAAGATAACAACTGATGCTGACAGTGCTCGAATTTTGGAAATGATCAATCTTTTCTAAGAATTTTACACCTGGGAATGGCTCAGATGTGTAAGGAATCATGTCATGACCTCACAACTGCTGCACAAAAGGAATGCCATAAAATTGGAGCTGAGGAAGCTGTTGTAAGTGGAAAGATGGAGCATCAGTGTTTCCAGAACAGTGATGTGCACTTGGGCAATGAAATGTTCTCTGCCCTGACCAGCAGGGTCACCACACACACTCCCTGACCACTTGAAATGTGCCACTGAAGAACTGAATCTTTGGTGTGATTTAGCGTTGCGTCCCATGTATATTAAGGGGCTGTTGTTCTGGTCACTGCAGACACTGGGCTTGCTCTGACCCTTAAACTATTAGCTGCACCTTCCACCCCAGAGCCCTGAAAAGGATGCATTCTTCTCTCAAAATATTTAAAGCAATGGATATTATCCTAATAAGCCATTTTATCAAGTTGAACCTGCACAAAAAAGTTGGCAAAAAAGACAAGTATCAGAGACCCTCCCACCATCAATATCTCAATTAGCTTTTTGTGCAAACACACAAAAAATCTCTTGACAGGGGGTGAGGCAGAACAAAGATGTTGACTCGCCTCCTCTGGGTCTTCAAAGGTCAAGTGCAGCAGAACAAAGCCAGGGGGACACAACGTGCATCAGGAGCCTCCTGGAGGGAACAGATCATTCCCAACACTGGGAGTTGATAAATCCAGAGTCCCACCCCGAATTCAAACCCCGTGGCCTGGAACACCTTTGGAAGGTAAGGCCGAGAACCCACACGGCGCACAAGCACACCCCGAGAATCCCGCTGCTTCCTCACATGTGGGCGGCCCTACTCGGTGCAGAGAGCTGGAGTGGGGGTGGGAAATCCACGAAGGCCGGGAGGGAGGCGCCTGCAGGAGACACAGCAGCCCGGGTGCTGATGGAGTGCACGGGGGCAGTGGGCGGGAGAGGGAGGACAGGACCAGATGACTGAGCTCATGGTACGGCATACTTCTGGAAACTTCCAGTGAGCTCTGTTCACATGATCCCAGAATCACATTTGTCCCCAAAGGAACTTCAGACCTGCAGGAAGTAGTTTTCTTCTAGATCATACATACACTTTTCAACCTTGTCATTACTGACATTTGAGCCAGATAATTTGGGGGGGGGGGGTGTCCTGTATATTGCTGCTGTTTCATAACAACCATTGTCTCTGCCCTTAAACCATAGCACCCAGCCTCAGTTGTGACAACAAAAAGTATCTCCAGACAGCGCCAACCCCTCCAGGCCTGTCAGAGCTGTGTGTTCCCCTGAATGTGTCCACGTGCCATTTAACTGCCACAGGACTACGCTCCCAGTTATTTACAAATGCATAAGCCACCCAGTGCACGCGCCAGCATGATGAGTGTCTCTTACATTGAACTGGCAGCTTCCAAAGACTCTGGCAGCTACCACAGGTAAAATTTAATCTCAGGGAGAAATGGTGCAGCCTGCGTGTCAAGGGCAACGCTCAGAGACTTCTTAGTTTTATAAGAAGAGAAAAAACTCACCCTTTCTCTTGCGAGGAATTCCTCAGCAAAGGAGTGTTTTCTGTGACCGAGGTGTCTTTCGACCTGGGGCTGGAGAAGTGGGGTAATGAAGGGCGGGACCTGAAATACACAGTGAAAGAAAAAGGGTCACCAAGACGAAAACAGTGGATGTGCTCACCAGTAACTGGGGTTGGACCCAAGAACGAACCACGGTTCAGTAATAGTTAGATTTAGTGATGAATAGCTAGGGGAACCGAATAAGACATCAGGGGGGAAAAATAATAACAACAAACAGACAACTATAAACCAGAGACACTCTGCAGGGGAGAGGAGGGTCTGAACGATGGAGGGAGCACAGGGGCCTGTGGGGATGGTGCATGGGTGAATTGGGGTGGAAATTCGGTGGGGACTACACCTGAAAAACATTGTTAAAAAATGAACAATGGGGCCCTCCCTGGTGGCGCAATGGTTAAAGCACAGCACTAAGAAGCTAAAGCCACTTGAGCATGAGTTTAATCCCCACTCTGGAGGTGACCCACATGGCGCGGCAGACCTCTCCTGACCCCCCTGCTGCTCCCCTCAGCAGTGTACTTCATCAGTCTACCTGTTCTGCTCTCCACTCTGTCTCTGGTGAATCCTCTCACTGCCCCTGCACCTCTGGCCTGCACCCCAGTTCTGTATACACAAATAAATAAATCGTTTTAAATAATAATAATTAATTAAATGAACAATGATGTAAAATATATATAAATATATTTTTTTAAAGCTAGATTTTAAGGGTCTCCCTGGTGACCTAGGGGCTTGGTCTCAGCACTGTCACCTCTGTGGCCTGAGTTCGCTCCCCAGCCAGGCAAGTGACCCACATGGCGCAGCAGACCTCTGCTGTCTCGCCCGCTGCTCCCCTCAGCAGTGTATTTCAGTCGATCTGCCTGTCCTGCTCCCAACTCTGTCTCTGGTCAATCCTCTCACCCCCTTCACTTTGGCCTACACCCCAGTTCTTCTATGCAAGAAATAAATATTTTTTAGAAAATAGAAATTAATAAAAAAAAAAAAGCTAGATTTTTAGAAGCGGGGATTAGGATATCTCTTATTTCCAGCACAACCCAGGCTGGAAATGTAGGGCAGAAGCTGACAGAGGAGGCCAGATGGGGCCGCCACTTTAATCTCACTTCAGCATTACCATTGGTTTCCAGCCCCTTCAGCATCCCATGCAGGTTTTCATCCAGCAAACCACTCAGCGTTGATGGTCCCTTTTATAATCAGAAAATTCTATTTCACAGGTCAAAATATTGAAACATTACACATTTAAAATATCCTAATGGCTTCCTAGGGAAACCAAGCAGCAAGCCAGGGTGATGGCGTCAATGAAGCAGAATGGCAGGGAGGGGAGTCCCGGGGGGCCGAAGCCAAGGCTCACCCTGCAGAGGACTCCCCTCTGCTGTAATGGTCTGTTGACTAGAGGGAAGGCTACCGTAGAGTTACCCCCAAATCGGTAGCTGTTCCAGAAGGAAATAACTGCACAGTCATAATAGCACCCACCAGCATAAACAGTCACCTCTTGAACGCACATACGATTTTTTTAAGATTTATTTATGCATACAAGAACTGGGGTACAGGCCAGAGATGCAGGGGGTGAGAGGATTCACCAGAGACAGAGTGGGGTGCAAAACAGGCAGATTGACTGCAACACACTGCTGAGGGGTGCAGTGGGAAAGACAGGAGAGGTCTGCTGTGCCATGTGGGTCAGCTCCCTGTCAGGGATTGAACTCGTGCTGCAGTGACTGCAATAGCTTCATAGTGCTGCGCTTGAACCCCTTGTGCCACCAGGGAGGGCCCGGACATATGATGCTTAAAAAGCAACCAGTTATTCATGAAAAATTGCAGCAATCATTTTCATTCCTAATTATAAAAGTGTCACCTTATATGCAAGTATGTTCCTTTCCTGGAAGTGCCCAGACTCTGTAGGGATTCTGTGGGTGCCATGAGACTCTCAGCAGGAGAAATAACAGTAATTTACTAGGGACCATAGAAGGGTAAAAGACAAGTCAGATACTTAGCACACAAGGATTTGTAAAAGCTAGCTCAGAACTTACTGAGTTACCTATATTATTCTGCCCATATGAACTATTATGTACTAGTTTTAAAGGAAGATGAATGTATCAACTTGAACAGAGGGAAAACATGCACAAGAGATGATGAGATAAAAAAAAAAAAAACAGGCATTCACACAGGTGATTTGGTGATGGAAAGTCCATGGGGATTACAACTGAGTGGAAAAAAGCACAAAATGATGTAAAAATAAACTATTATAATCATTAAAAAAAGAAAACTAAGGACAATAGTTTTAATGGTTTAATAGTGAGTCAGAAAAAGAGAAGCGATTGTGACTGGCTGTCTATGACTGAAGCAGTCAACTCTGGGGTGGCCTCTGACATAACAGCACCATCGCCCTCCACTCCAGCTGCAGCTCTATCCACTGAACACATTCATTAATGCTTCCTTCCAGCTCACCTCTGTGCCTGGTACCCAGAAGTAACAGACAGTAAAGCCTCTAATGACTCATATATAGTGGGCATGAAACATGCGAGTAGCCAATGTAATGTGTTGGGTGACACTTTAGGGATGTGGAAAAGGGAATTTAGAAGGAAAGAAAGAACTCCTTCTTCCTCAGGAAGAGTCCAGCTATTTCTTCAAATAATGAATATTGCAAAGTAGGAGGAGATGGAAAGTTTCAGGCTTGTTAGTTAATATCCTAAACACTCTGTGTCAATATGTGATCGCAATGAGTGGAGTAGAAGAGGAGACTGTGAGAACTGGATATGGTTAAATAGCGGGTAGACAAGAAGGCCTGCAGGGAGTGTTCATCTAGGAGGCTCTGAGGGGGAGGATGGCAGATAAAGGAAGATAACGGGAATTGAACAAATGTAAATATATATGGGAAATGATCTTTAGAGTTAATGAAGGAATTTTGTCATGAATAAAAAAGATGTAGATTTTATTAATAAAAAAATAGGAATTCAAGAAATGAGGAGATATAAGGCTGTTCTGAAAGTCTCAAATACAAAATGAAAACAATGTAATTTCATCATATATTCAAAAAATAGGTTTCATTATATATTCAGATAAATAATCATTTCCACTTATCATTTCTAGGTAGCCTAAGAAATGAAGAAATATCTATTTTTTAAATGCCTCCTAAAATTCAAGCAGCCAGAAGGAAAAAACAGGTATTAATAAGAATATTGAGATCGGAAACAAATCACCAAAACAAGATTCTTTGTTCATTCTGTTGAAGTAGAAAAAGGAAATTCAAAAATTTTATTCTTTATAAATGAATAGTCCAGGACCTCCCTGGTGGTGCAACGGGTTAGGATGCAGCGCTGCAAGCTGGCGGCAGCCACTTCAGTGAGAGTTCGATCCCTGGCGGCCCCGGAGGTGACCCACATGGCGCAGCAGACCTCTCCTGTCTCACTCACTGCTCCCCTCAGCAGTGTACTTCCTCGATCTGCCTGGTCTGCTCCCCACTCTGTCTCTGGTGAAGCCTCTCACCGCCTCTGCACCTCTGACCTGTACCTCAGTTCTGCATGTATAAATTAAATCTTTTTAAAAAAAAATGAATAGCACTTTGACGTTTCCTGTTGCTCAATAATAAAATCTTCATTTATATTCCACGAACCTTGTAAATGTCCCCTAATTCAAAAGATGTTGAGGCTGATGATGACTTTTGCTTAAACAACTAATTCTGTTACAGATGGTGCAAGTTAATCTTATTTTGTGATAAAATAGTAAAGACTTTCATAATTGTCCTAAAAGGTGTGTGCTCCAGGACACAGCAGTAGCCACACTCTGGGAAACACAATCCCACTCAGGTGCCCTCCTCTTCCTGGGGTTTCATTTGCATTTTACCTGACAATTCCCATCTTCCTAGCCCTCATTGCTCAGCTGCTCAGCGCTGCATCAATAAGTTACTTCATTTCAAGGAATTCCATAATAAATTCCAAGATGCTAAAAGCCTCCCTGAGAACCAGGCAGCGGTGCAGGAGACACACAGCTGGAGGTGGCCCTGCCCAGGGCTCCCTGATTGTGCACATTCCTGAAGTGTGTGAGGTGACCTTTCAGTCCATTCCCCACCTTGGAGGCCATCTCAGGTAGGACGGCCACCGAACTTCTAGAAGAGAGGAGCCCACATATTTGAGTTTTAATTGTTTTTCTGAATGTACTTCCTCTGCTTCAAAATCATAACTCTAAATGAATAATGGTACCAACAGAACACAAGCTCCAGAATGATAGGATTTGGGCACAAAACATCTGCTTTTAAGAGCTCAATACTGGGAATGCAGTTAGACTTTATATTTGACTGATACTTTTCAAAAGAAATCTGAGAAGCCACCCAATTCTTTCAGTTCAGACCTGTTCAATCCAGGTCCAATTGGCTGAAACCAGTTCAGAAGGCTGAAACCGGCTCAAGCTGGTTCAAACTGGTTCCAGCGAATTAAAACAGGCTCCCACCAGTGCTGACTTAGTCAAAGAAGTGACACAGAAAGCAACTGAAACTGAAAGTGAAACCCACTGACACTGCCCCCAACTGGCTTAAAACTGGTACAACTGTTTCCAAACAGTTCTGACAAGTTCAAACAGAGAGAAGCTGACAGTGATTGAAGCGGGTTCTGACCTCTTCAAAGAACTGAAATCAAAAACAACTCACACTAAAACCATGTGACACTGATTCTAACAGGCTCAAAACTCTAGACCAGACCAAACAGGCTGAAACCAGTTTTGAAACGGCTGAATCTGGTTCAAACAGGTGCGGACCACCTGAAACAGGTTAAGACCAGTTCCAACAGGCTGAAAACAGCTCAAGCTGGTCCAAACCGGATCCCACCAGTTGAAAATGGTTCAGACCTGTTCCTACTAGCTGAGGTGGGTTTAGACCAGTTCCAAGTGCCTGAGGCCAGTTCAGACTGGCTCAAACCAGTTCCTACCAGCTGAAACCAGTTCAGACCTATTCCTGCTAGCTGAGACCGGTCCAGACCAGTTCTGACTGACTGCAACCATTTCAACCAGTTCAAATGGATGGCTAAAACCGGCTCAAGCTGATTCAAACTGGTTCTGACCAGCTGAAACTGGTTCCCACAGGTGCTCACTTCTTTAAAGAAGTGAAACCAAAAATAGGTTAGGAAAGTGATCTCAGGTTGCAATTGATTCTTACAACTTCTGGGAGTTTTTTCCACAATAAACTATAGGTAAATATGTAAATTTACTATAGGTAAATATGCCCATGGAATTCTAACATTTGTGAATTTCACATTTATAACATGAAACTCACCTCTGTTCCATAAGGAATGAGCTCAGATCCTGATCCACAGGAGCACAGCAGCTCTGCTCGACCACCCTGCTGGAGTAGGGACTCAGGGAGTCAGCCTGCTTGACACTCTGCTGGGGTCTGGGGTCACCTCCTGGGCCAGCACGTGTGGGAGCAGATGTCTGCTGGTGCTCCATCTCCAGCACACCAGGGCTCAGCCCGCCATCTTTACTCTCCAGATGCATGCTCTGTGGCCACTCCCCTCACCAGGGTCAGTCCGAAATAAGCCACTGTTGACGAAAAGCAAACAGAGTGTCATTTACACCTTAGGGAATCCATACTGCTGAATGGTACAATAGCAAGACCTCTCATAACATAGTTTATCCAGCAGCCCAGCATTCTAACATTGCACAGCAGACAGTGAATGTTCGTCTCCAAGGATAAGCATCCTAGCCAACTAGGTCACTCTAGCTGTGACCTAAGAGCCTTGTTAGGTGAGTTATGAGTGTACATAACATGCATAACATACTATGCACCTCGCGGGACCGGGCAGCTCGGGGGGTCACTGGCTCCCACACTACAGGCAGGACGAGTCCGTTGTAGAGTGAGCACCGTGAAGCGCCTTCGCACACCCACTGGCCAGGCAAAACAGTTGGAAACGACGAAGACAAAATCTGGAATTAAAACTCCAGAAAACCCAACCAGCCAGCGACAAGTGACCCCCAAGTTCCCCTCTACACACAACCCACTGGTCCAACTGCCCAAACACCCACAATGGAAAGTCTTGAAGTTATTCTTGGCCCTTCCCCCAGGGCCCACTATCTGTCTCTGTCCCACGATCCTCCAGGCACATCCAGCCCAAGCCAAGAGCCTCTTTCCCACACAACCTTCCCAACCCTGAGTCATCACCCAAAGTGCCCCCCAGCCCTGGCCATGCAGCCACCTCTCAGCAGGCACAACTGGTCAGTGGCCTTCTAGAAACACAGCCCTTGGGACCTTCCCGAGGCACAAGAAAATTTACCTGCATTTGCTTTGCACCTGCTTAATAAAACTTTAAGAATCGATGTTCTCACACCTCCCCTCCCCAACACACACACACCTACATGATTAACTACATTTAATATCTGTAAATGAAATCTGCAATGCCAGCAGTTGTGTGCAGTCATCCACAGCTTATCCGGAGCTTTGACCTCTGTGCTTAGGTTTAATCCACATTGGTAACTATGTGGGAATAGCCTTGCCAGGTGCCTTCAGACTCCTAGGTCCCTCAGCAGGATTTCACCTGGCCCATGTGGTCAGCGGAGCTGGGGCTGGGGGCTGGAATGCCCCAGGTTACAGTGGACTGCCTGTCTTCGAGGGGGGGGGGTGCTCCCCAGAACTGCCAACCACCTCTTTCTCTTCCTCTCAATCACGACAAACTGTAGCCTGGTCACACCCCTTAAGTTAGTGCTCCGAGCATCACCCGGGAGCTTTACAAGCAGCCAGCCCCTGAGCAGAGGAGCAGGGGGCACGGCTGGTCAGTAGGTAGGTCGGTCGGTCGTGGACCCTGGCTCAGACGGGATCTGGACACCCAACAAGGGCCAGCCACAGGGACGCCTGAGCTTAACACCCATGTCCTGGGAAAGAGCTGGCAATACGAAGGTGCATTTATTCCACTGTGTGTGGCCAGGGTGAGCAGAAGGGCTGGGGGATTTAAAGGTCTCGCCCTGGCGCATTCCATTCCGCAGAAACGCCTGACCCGCGCTCACGTGGAGAGCAGAGAAGCGGGTCTGCGCCGACGGCGCCCTGCGGCTGCAGCCTCAGCCCTCGGAACCCCCCTTTCCCATCTCCAGGCCCACTCCGCTGTTCCTGAAAACCTGCTCCCCGTGAGCCGCTCCCGGTAAGTCCAGAACAGGCTCGTGGTGGCAATGATGCCGCGCGACCTCGGCAGCGACTGGGTTCACGCCCTTTACCCCGCAACTGCCCTCTCCAAAAGGCAACAGCTGACGCAGGCAGCGCCCCACCTCCTCTCGCCCGACACGCAAAGCTCTTGCTTTTACCTGAAGACTTGATCTTTCTCCAAGTGTGAAGTTGGGGGTCCGAAAGTGGCAGTTCCGAGCGGTGAGTGGAGCGCAATCCCAGCGGGAAGGCGCGCTCTCGGGGCGCAGGGGCGGGAGGGGGGCGGGGTCGCTGTCCGGCCGCCTCCCGTCTGACCACGCCCACCCATGTCACCCCAGGCCCTGCTGCCCTGGGCCAGGCCGACTGAGAGGAGGAGGAAGGGGCTCTCTCACCGCTAGATCTGCAGGAGCGCCTTGGGGAAATGGAGGAAAGGGGTCCGCTGGGAGGCTAGCCCCAGCTCTGTGAGTCGGACCACCTGCTCGAGGTGAGCCCTTGGAGAAGGAGCGAGGGCTTGTAGCAGGTTTATCGGGGACACAAAAACCTGAGTGCGTCGTCTTGTTTTCTCATTGCCTTTTCTCCGGCAGCCTAGCGCTGAGGCCAAGCGTACCTTGTGGAAAGCATATGCTCTCTCATACAACACACACAGGAACCACCAGACAGACACTCATCACAGACACAAACTGCGCACAGACACACAGAGGCACCACAGACACACATGTGACACAGAGACAGACACACAGGCACACAGAAAGGCACACCTACCCTTACATGGACGCACAGCAAGATACACACACACACAGACATACAGACACACCGGCTGGCAGTGGTCTGGCAGCTCAGGAAGCCTTAACCTCCCCTGCAGCACCCACTATTGGAAGGCAGGAAGGCAGGAGCTGTTGGCTCTTCCAGGATGTAGCAGGCAGAACCTCAGAGGGTCTCCTTGGCGGGGAGGAGTCTGTCATGTCTCTGGCAGAACCTTGTCTTCTCAGGGGCCGGGTGCCCTGGTGTTTGGGAGGTACAGGATTTATAGCAAGCACTTTGCAGTGATCATACTGTTCAGAGCTGTCCGGGCAGGGCCAAGGATGCCAGGGCCCACAGATGCTCAGGGAGACCAGTCTCACCGCTCGGCACCACAATCGGAAATTCCCATCATTGGTGTCAACCTGAGCTCTCCGAGTCAGGTCCGGGCTGTGTCTGTAGACTCTGGGTGCAGACCGCAGTGCATGTTAGCTGTGGGTGTGGCTCAAGTGCAGGCGCCCATAGACCTGGCCTCCCTGGGCAGCCGGCTGAGGAGCCTCTGACTACCCCCGAACTCCAGGGCATCACAGAGGCCAGGTTCAAAGAGAAGGACACAGACCTCAGACCTTGAGGGAGGACTAGCAAAAGAACTTGAGAGCAGGGCTCTCCCTGGTGGCACAACGGTTAAAGCACCGCATTATGAAGCTCTCTGAAGCCACTGCAGCACAAGTTCGATCCCCGGCCCGGAGGAGACCCACATGGCGCCACAGACCTCTCCTGACCCACCTGCTGCTCCCCTCAGCAGTGTACTTTGTCAACCTGCCTGTTCTGCTCCCCACTCTGTCTCTGGTGAATCCTCTCACCCTCCGCATCTCTGGCCTATACCCCAGTTCTGTAAGCATAAATAAATAAACCTTAAAAAAAAAAACAAACATGAGAGCCGTGTTCTAATCATCACAGACTGCCCCCTAGATAGGGATGTCATTGACAACGAAGGGGCCATGCAGCAAAAGGAACAATTCTGGACTTGAGTTTTGTACCTTAAGGATATTTTAAAATGTTAGGAGCTGTGGAGCGACAGGGATTTGGATTCATTGCTGCTGGGAATGCAGAAGAGGAGGGCCACATTGGAAGACAGTTTGGCAGTTTCTTACAAAATTAAACATACTCTCACCATACCATTCCAACAAAGCTACTCCTTGGAATTTACCCAAGTGAGATGGAAATGTGCACATAAGAACCTGCATTCTGATGTTTATAGCAACTTCATTCATAATTGCCCAGACTTGGAAGCCCATCAACGCGTCCTCAGTAGATGAGTGGATAAATAAGCGAGGGGGTGTCCAGACTCAAAAAACATGAGTAATAGTCTAAAACAAAACAAAACAAAAAAAAGATGAGTTCTCATTTTAACACAGTAAATTAGTATTACGTTCATTTAATATACTAAGAAGAATGAACTCTCAAACTGTGAAAGACATGGAGCAGCCTTAAATGCATAACACTAAGTGAAAGAACAAACCCCAATAAAGTCTGGTGTTGATGTTAGCATTCACTCTTGTTTTTTTTTTTTAAGATTTACTTATTTATGCATACAAGAGCTGGGGTACAAGCCCAAGTGCAGAGGATGAGAGGATTCACCAGAGATAGAGTAGGAAGCAGAACAGGCAGATCAATGAAGTGCACTGCTGAGGGGAGCAGCAGGGGAGACAGGAGAGGTCTGCTGTGGCCTGTGGATCACCTCCCTGGCCAGGGATTGGACTCGTGCTGTAGTCCTGTGGAGAGCCCCATAGTTCTGAGACTTAACCCCTCTTGCCACCAGGGAGGCCCTCAACTTCAGCCTTTGGATGATGATAATAATTTAATGTAGGTTCAAATGCCCCACTCTGGCAGGGGTGTTGACACTGGAGAGGGCCATGCATGAGTTGGGACTGGGTATCTATGGGAAATCGCCATAGCTTCTGCTCAGTTTTGCTGGGAATTTAAAATTGCTCTAAGTCTCTCTCTCTCTCACTCTCTCTCTCTTTCTTTCTCTCTCTCTCTCTGTCTCTCTCTCTCTCTCTCTCTCTCTGTCTGTCTAACAAATAAACTAGGGAAAATTTGTTGGGCAGAAATTTCTCAAGGGGAAGTCTCCTTTGTGTATGGGGACCTTTGGGAAGTGGCCGGGTGGGGTCCACCTGGCCCTTCCACGGCTCCCCAAGCAGAGGGAGTTCCAAGGCACCTCTAAGCTGCCTACAGACCTGTGAGCTGAGGGGTCAGCACCCAGTGCCCACAAACTTGAGGCACTCCGCTGGGGCCTCGGTGTCGACTGCAGGGTCCCCGGGTCCCACACTGAGACTGGTCATCACTGCTGAGTGACCAGCCCTCAAGGGCTCCTTCCATGTAAGACAACTGAGTGAGAGGTGACCGCAGGAGACTCAGCATCAGGTGCCTCCACACAAAGCTGCGGCAGAGGTCACAGCAGTGCCACTGGGAAGTTGCCCAGGCAGCATGGAGAGGCCATAAATGTGTGTGGGCACCATGATACACAGCGAGAGCCAAGGACCCGGAGGAAGGAGTTCACCGTGTTTGGCCGGAGTCATGTACGGCAGCGCTGATGGCTGGGGGTGGCCCAGTGAGAGGGATGGAGCCCATCCCGCACGCCTCATGGCCCTCATTCCGAGCTGGGGAACCCATCGGAGCCAGAAGCACAGCTCACAGTGAGGGGTTAGCCTTGCTGGACTGTCCACCTGTACTATCCTCCCAGCAGGGAGGGGCCCAGCCGAGCAGGGAAGACAGCCATCCTCGCTGCAGTGCAGAGGTGTGAGCCACTCAGTGTAAGTCCCAGGTCGTGGACCCACCTCCTGGCCTGCAGTGGGGAGGGACGCTCCTCGGGAGGGCCTGTGGTCAGAGGACCGAGGGCTAACACCCAGCTGGATGGGTGACCCTGTGGTGCTGGATTCTGAGATCCTAACCCTTCTCCCCACGTCTCAGGTGCCCAGCTAGATGTCCCAGGAACTGTGGTGATCCCTGAGCAGGGCACTTGGCTATAAATTATCCCCTTACCAATTCCATGGGTGCAGCATTAGGTTTGGTAGTGCTGAAGCTGTCCTGACTGTGAGAATCCGGGAAGGATCACAAGACCCATGTCCCTGAGCAGTGGGAGCCCCACACCCCACACTCAGCGATGCCCTCTCCCCCCTGTGGGGGCCAGACTGATCAGGCTTGAAGAGGTGCCCTTCTGGTGCCAATCATGCATGAACAGACTGGGGTCGCCCCGGGGCCTCAGGGAGCCTGTCTACCTTAGTAACTCAATTCAGAGCAACTGAAAGGGGATTTTATAATGGTTTTGACATTTCAAAAGGAGTGCCCTACCTCAGACCTCTCCCTTATCTTCCATTGCTCCCAAATGAAGTATCCAGGCCAGTTTTGCAGTAAAGCGAGTTCACTCATGCGTGGACTTAGGAAACTCTGGTATTCCCAGATTTCTAGTTAACCCTGAGATCCCCAGCAAATGGCCTCAGAAGCCGGGGGTCACGGTGATGCTGGGGACTATTCTGTGCTGATGAAAATGAACCAGCCCAGGGCCGTTCATTGGAACCTGTCAGCCAGTGCTGGCTGCATCTGCTCTCCCGCTCAAATCCCGGACAGCTTTGTAGGTGCCCTGCCAGACGTGCCCGTGTCCAGCAGCAGCAGTGCCAGCAGCCACTTTTACGGCCCCTCGTCTAGCAGTGAACAGAGGTTGTCGAAGCCTGCATCCAGCCCCCACACTCCCACACTGCTGGAGACCAGGCCCTACTCTTGAAGCTCACTGGGCTCTGAAAGTCAGATAAGCAGGATACAAATTGGCCAGCCACGTGGCCCCAAACAGGTGGTACTGTGGTGGGCAGTGAGAGGCAGGGCAGAGAAACCTGCTTTGAGCCTGCACTGGGGGAAGAAGAGCTTTCAGATAGTATAGAGGAGACCAAGCTGAGAAAATCAGGAACTTAGGGTGAAGTTCTTGTAAATCTAAGCGGAATGCAGCTTTAGAAACATTACACATGTGCTACCTTTTTCATGAGAGTCATCACACCGTCTACTGCCTTAGTAGCATCAATCTGCAATTCAGCACGTAGCTAGAACCTGCCAGCAAAATTAAGGAGACTTCATCAGGATGGCCAGGGAGCCCTGCTGCAGCACGAGTCTGCCTTGGCTGGCTCTGTTGCACAAATTCCCATCTGTCAAAAATCTCTCTCATGCGTTGGGTTGGTCGTCCAGACTGGGTGGTTCTGAGTCCTTGAATGAGACTCCAAGACAGATGGGAACTTTAGGGTAAGAGCTTAAAAAGTAGAACTGAAGATTCTGAAAAAGTGAAGATGACATGTAACGGTCCTATAGGTTGCTTATAGGCAAAAAGTGAATAAACTAATGAAAATCAAAGCGCCATTTGGAGAAGTGGAATAGCTTATGAGAAGGAAACTGACAACCCTCGTGTTCCCGAAATGAAAAATAACAAGCTCAGAACAACTATGTGTTAGGCAATTGTTTCTGAACAGCGAAAGTAGGTGGTGAATGGCTTGGGTGATAGCGGGTTCCCCCTTGAGGGGTCCCAACCACACCTCAGGCCAGCTGACACAAGAGGGATGGAGATTTGTTTTTAATCTTAACGATGATAATAATTTTCATTCAAGCTGAAAAAAGGGCTAACCTGGGTGCTCACCAGTTTAGTCATGGAGAAGTTCCCAGAGAAAAATTTCTCATCTAATGTTAAACAACCTATCCCTGAATATATATATATATATATATATATATATATATGTAAATATAAAAGCCTTCCAACATGAAAAGCATTTTGTCTTCACAAGGGAACACTTCACGTTCTAGTGCACTGGATTTGTGCTCCAATCTTCCTGATTCTGTCCTTCCTTTGCAGATGGGGGGCCACGCACATACCCTGCAACAGGGAGCTCAAATCCTGTCACACCGGAGACTGCCAGGAGCAGACCCAGAGCCCAGGTCAATGGATGGGAGCCTGGAACAGGAGGAGCCGGAAACCCAACTCCTGGCTCACGACTCCAACGCTCCCTGGAAACCTTCTGTCCCTTCGCCTAATAATGACTCAGTTTTTCTAAAACCTAAGCTAGAGTGGAGAACGCTTAACTACTGCTGTAGCAAAGACTAAGTTGATTTTGACTCTAGCACATCCTTCAATACTGGTCTAGCCAGGTAAGAAAGTTCAGCTTACAATTTTGTGGCAGATGTTTTATTTATAGGGGATTAAAATGTAGGCATACACATGACACAGACATTTGTAGATAGTACACTTTCCATGACAGAAGCTATGACACGCTCACAGAAAGTAGCTGCAAAGCTCTCGTGTACCCTTGGCGTGAGGGGGGCTCACAGGGCCTTTCTGTTTGGTTTTGCTTTAAGTCACCTCTGAATGCATTCAAGTAATACTGATCATGTAATGTTCAAAAAGCTTTTAATAAACAAATTCAGAGTAAAATTAATTGAAATATTTATAATATGATTTAATTGTTACACAGTATTTCCAATGTACAATCAAGACAATGCACAACACTTGAAAGGAAGGAGAAGGAGAAAACAAATCTATTGCACCCACAGTAAAAAGGCTTTTTATTCATTTTTGGGACGCTGCAATTCAGTATTTATAGAAACATTTACACACTTTAGTAAACACAGAGGTCCTACATGTAATGCAGCATTACGGGTGAGAAGGCCCTCTTGAAGTTTCAAAAATAAACGTTAGTGTCCACATCAGGCCCCACGTGCAGGACTGGTTTTCCATTCGTTGTTCCACGCAAGGTTCCAATCCCGAGCAGCCAGTCTCTCTGCCCATCCCTGGACATGGAAAGGACACGCCGGACCGCTTGTGCCCACACAGTAGTGCTCTGCCTCCCTGCTTGATCTTGCGCTGTCTCTGATGGCACCGCTCCACCTCAGTGTCCTGTTAAATAATCCTGGGTAGAGTCTGAAGCAAATGAATCCACGTCCTCGTTTTCCGAGTCGTCGCTGCTGTCATCAGCAGCTGGCTCGCCCGTGAGGGCTATGCGAGCATAATCATCTGTGTCTATGGATTTGCAAAAGTGGATGGCATATTTCAGTTTCTCTTCCAGCACCTGCTTACAGGAGTACCTGGGCAACTTCAGCAAAAAGAAGCAGGTGTAGGACTCAGGAAGGAAGTGGTCAGGAGGGCTGTATTTATCCAGCACCTGCCAATGGAGAATATGAAATAATCAGAGACTATGTAAAACTCGAGTCTATATGATTATGCTCTTTAGGCGCTTGGAATCTCTCACAATAACTATCATTTTTTTTTTTTGACGAAGGATAATAAAATACCAAAAAGCATATGATGTAGACAATTTTAAAAATAAAAAGAACTCATTAATTCTAAGGATTTGTATAAAAACAGATCTGTGGTTACTGTGAAGATTATTTTTACAAATCAGTGCTGTGAAGAGGGCCTATATGCCCCTCCTCCGTCTCTCCCCAGGGCGACATGGGTGGAGCCCAGCCAGCCCAGGTCCGCACTCATCTACTTGCCCACGCTCAAACTCTGTAGAGGTTGAACCGTGGGCAAAAAATCAGGAATTACCTGCCCTTTGAGAGAAAAGTGACAGGTCCTCTCAAAGATTCCCCTGAAAGATGCCAACTCCGCAGCTCTGGCCACACACCGTCAGGCCTTGCCCCAGAGAGCACCTGCCCCCATCCTCCTGAGGTTTCGGGAGAGGGGCCCTTCCCCTCCCACTGAGTCTCTAAGGGCGGCCCAGTGCTGTAGTACGGCTATCAGGACACCCCACTTGTCCTGGATCTGTTCACCTGGCAGGTACATAGAGCCTATTTCTGACCAGCAGGATAGAACTAGAACCCCAAAGCAAAATTCCTGTCCCGAAACTGATGGGGTATCTGGGGGTTGCTCTTAGTGAGCGCTATTAGTGCCACCTGATTCCACCACAGAATCAAACACATGCGGCCTATGATGTGGATGTTCAAAATCCAGAACACACTGACACAAGAGTAGTAATTCTGCAGGCGACGAGATAACTTCTAAAGGCAGGCCATGGCACTTGAGCCCGCAGTCATGAAGCATTGATCTAAGACAGAAGCCTGGGTTTTTTACTTTTGTTTCCAGGAAGAAGGAAAAGCCGTCTCATGTGAGACCTGGTCTCCAAACTGCATGGGGTCCCGTGGGAGAGCCGCTCAGCCAGCACCACCCATGTGCAGGGCCTCACCTGGATGACAAAGTCCCTGCCCCGGAAGTCGGCGATGGTCCTGGGCAGCCTCGTCCGGCCCCACACGAAGCGGAGGAAGAGGGAGCGCTCCGTGTTAGAGAAGGATTCCATCACCTCCCAGAACCACTGGATCAGGGGCGCAGAGGGCTCGATGCCTTTGTACGTCGCCACCGACTTGAGAAGATGCAGTGGGATGTCCGGGCTGCCACACACCTGCGGGAGGGCACTGTCAGGCTGAGGGACACTCGGAATCCTCAGCAGAATGCCCGCCTCTGGCTACCCAGGCCGTGCGGGGAGGGCAAGCGGGGCACCGAGGCTGGGGGAAAGGGCTGGGGACAAGGCAGGCGGGGAACGCGTCCAGCTCAATCTACTTGATTTCTCAAGCTCCAGTGGTCCCAGGTTTAAGTGAAGGGTCCACTGAGAGGTTAACTAGCGGCACCACAGGTGTGTGGGCCGCCTCACCACAGGGGGCTCCAGCGTGGCAGGAGGGGCGGGCATACCATGGTCTCCAACTCATATCCGGTGAACAGAGAAAGAAGGGGGACGGGTACCACTCGGGCCATCCCCTCCCGGACGGCAGCCACCTGCTCATCGAATTCGTGGAGTCTGAAAGAAAAAACTGACTTTGTAGTTGTGTCCTGGGAGCAGACACCGAGCCTCACAAAGACGACGGAGCTGGCGCCTCGCACATGTGGTGTCGCGGCTGGGGTGACGAGCACACAAACCAGCGAGAGCTACACACGTCTTATGACACATTTCTCAGTACTTAGTAGACACAGAGGAAGGAGGAATCCGGACTGGACAGGGGAACCAGAGGCCAGGTCTCACGACGCCCACAGTCAGCACTTCAGCAGCAGACGCGTGTGGGGCTGCCATGGCCGGCACAGGGCACCAGGCAGAAATGCGACTCAGGACAACACAGCCAGAGCTGCCTTCACCCAGAGCCCAGCAAAGCCCCGGGCCGGTGCTCCTGGGGGCCCCCAAAGACCACCTGCTGAAATGCAGAGGTTGTGAGGAGTTGAGGCCCTGTGGGAGGTGTCGCCAGCCTGCCAGGCAGCAGCACGACCACCACACACTGGCCGAGGGTCATGCGGGCAGAGACGGCCTGACACGGCTCTGACCCTCTGAGCTCAGAGCAGAGGGATGTGCAGGCCTGTGGCGCCCACCAGGCCCGTCTCCCGAACAGGAGGCTTGCATTCAACTCACAGGAGGCTCAGGCAAGACTCTGGTTTACCTGAAAGGCTCACCCACAATAAACAAACAGCAAAACCAGAGTCAGAGCGCAGTCCATTAGCATTTTCCTGTGCATGACACTTCTGAGGAAATGCCGTTGGCCAACCACCGCTTTCTGATGCTTTTGCTATCGACTGGGTCGAAACACCGCGGTGAGGATCACGCACCTGTAGTTTATCGCCAGCCGGACATACTCGGCGCGGTTGTCCAGGGTGATGTGTGTGTACTTGGAGCTGAGCTGGATGTCCTGGCCGCTGGCACTGGGCACCGTGAAGGGCAGGCTCATGGCCTCAAACTCCTCTGAGGTGGCTTCATTGTCGCGGATGTACATGAGTCCAGGGATAAAATCTTTATCCACCTTTCGAGGGGAGAAGGGAGGCCCCACATTGGGATAGGGTCCAGCACGCAGCCGAGATGCTCAGCCAAGCTGAGCCTCGGTCTGCCTGGGGTGAACAGGGTGGGGGTCTGCGGGAGCGTGACATGATGGCAAGTAACAGAATAAGTGGCAGCGACAAGAAAGTACTTCATCTGACGAGCTGAAGGGAGAGTTCATTGCTCAACAACATCCTTAAAGTGAATAGATGAGAGAGCAACAGCCACTGCCAGAGCCGGCGCCCACTCTCCAGTCAGGACCCTGAGGGCACCGTGGCCACAGGAACAGCGCTGAGAGCGCCTGCCACTTGTGCAAACTGGCCTGGTAGCCGAGACCACCTCTGCTGCAGAAAGAGGGTGTGGCCCCGGCATGGCCCGGGAAGAAGTCCGACTTCAGGACGGGACGTATGGCTTAACAGGCCCAGGGTCCCACACCTGCGCTCTGCGCCAGGCACACCGGTGTCACACTTCCCTCCCTCACGGCAGTTACCTCACTGAGATCTGCGATGGTGAGGTTCATCCCTGCCAGCTGCTTCCACACAGGCTCAGCCAGGTTGAGGCTCAGGGGACTCCCAGTGCGGATGGCAATGCCCAGTAACACACCTGCTCACGCAAGGCACCAGGGACAGAAGAGACTCGGAATCAGGGGTGAAACATCCAGCTCATTCAACACACAGAGATGAGCTCTGCCCCGGGGCGACTCACTCACAGAGACTCGAGGTCTCCTGAAACCCGCTGTCCCGTCTCAAGTTCAACCATTGCTTTTGTTCCAATGGGCAAGTTTCTAGAGTGAGCCGCACAGCTTTATTCCTCTACTGGGGAAGAAGATGGCTGGAGCCTCTCCAGGAAGTCGGACATGGTGCCTGTGGAGGTGCAGGCAGCACCCCAGGGCTTCGCAGGCCCCTACTGAACATGAGGGAGACCTGGCCAACTCCCAGCACCTCCTCAGGTCTAATCCCCAGCTTCAGACACACCGACATTGCAAAAACATGGTATTTCAGATTCTCTGAGCAGCAACGAGCTGCAATGGCTGGACTCTAAACATCCCTGCGGGTGCACACACATGACGCAAACGGCAGGTATCCAGTCACCCCCGGGACAGCAAGCAGACGTTATCCTGGGGGGGGGGGGGGGGCTCGTCACGGCACTGTGCCCGCATAAGCACACCCACCCAGGAAGCGGAACATGTTGGTGTGGACAGGCGCCCTGGCAGCCGGGCTGAATAGGTAGCAGTCGCGGTTGGCTCCCGATTCGTCCCTCCCGTTGGGCGTCACAATCAGAAGGGGGGTGAGTCCGTTCTGCAACTCCTCACAGATCTCAGCTATGGACTCACTGTAGCCGCCACCACAGTCATCCACAGATTCGCCTTGAGGGAAAGGACAGTGGGTCACTCACAGACACCTGCACTGCCCCCCGAGCCTCTACCCGGGCTCACTGCTGGCCCTCGGTGGCCACAGGCCCTTGGCACATGCACACATACGCTCACCCACAAACTTGACTTTCCAGACACGGTGTGGGAGGAGGAGGCTGTCGGGGCTAAAGGAGCTCATCTTGGCACACATCTGCCCGAAGACAGACTTGGTCCCATCAGGGCCTGCAAGGCCACCTTTACTCCTGGATCGTTTGACCTAGAGAGAGAAAGAAAGAACATATTAGAAGCTGCCACAGAACAAGACTGCTTCTGAATTTTTAGAAATGAGCATGCAATAAATGTGTGGTAAACTAAAAAGCTTACTATGTGCAGTGATCCTATTATAAAACTAAATGAAATAAAACAAAGGAAAGCCCTCCAGGCCATGACCTACAGGTATCCTTAAAACACCTTCCCCACAGTAAGTAAGAAGAGCGACTCCCCCAGGGGAGGCCGATTCCCTCAACACCCACGGCCACAGGACCTGGTGAGGGCGCCGAGCCTGCCTTCCCGGGGCAGAGCTGACATCTGTGCTCGAATGCTTTACAGAAGGTGCCCTCCGCCCTTTGCGCTCTGTATTTAATAACAACAACAAAAACAAGAGGCAAACAACCCACTGCCATTCCTATCTTTTGGAAGTTCTAGCTTAAGGTGGAAGGTCAAAACCCTGAAGTAGGGCTGGGGGTGGGCAGGAGCAGCCAGCCCTTCAAAAACCGATGGGCCTGGCACTGGCGGTTGTTTATCTACTTTTTCAAAAGCCCACCAAAAATTTGTGCACCCTCTTCCCAGCCTGTTCTTCCACACGTAAATCAACCATTTTCTCAACACAAAGCACAGGCTGAAAGGAAAGATGAGGAGGGAAAGGTGCCTGGCAACGAGACCGAAAACCGACACAAGAGAAAGAAACGGTGCGATGAATGTGGGTTCAGGCCGTCGGGGCTCACTGAGGCCCAGGGTCCCCTGACTGCAACACGCACATCAGGTTGCTGCCGCCATGTGGCAACTGTGGGGTGCAGGGCCTACGGCCCAGGAACAGCCAGCCGCCTGTAGTAAATGAGCTCCAGCCACCAGCTTTCCTCATCTACACATTTAGTACTTAGGACCTAATAATGCAGAGCAAGCCAAACTCCTCCAAGGTGGGGAAATAAAAGCTTTTTATGAGCCTCATTAAACAGCTCATTTGTGAAGGGGGCTGACTGGCCCACAGCTCCGCTCAGCACTAAGCTCTCCTACGTCAGTGGATGGACCACTTCCATCAGCGTGGTCACATGCATTCTCCAACAAACGACAAGAGTTTGAAGTCTTCACTCAAAATGCCCCCAAGTACAATTCTGGAAAAATTCCTAGGCATGTAACCAACATCAGGGTAAAAATCATGTGCTAATACAAAGGTACAAGAACAAAGAATTTGTTCTTCATAGCTTTCTGCTTCCGTTCCAAGAGACGGGGTCAATTTCATTTGCAAGATAAATGTCAAGGGCTGCCCAGTATCATCACCAGGCCAGAGTTCCCCGTGTCTTTAATTAACATACTTAAGCTGTGAGCTTGCACGCCTCCGACAGTGCACACACACAGAGACGGTCCGCCCCGCGCTTCTGCTACCACTGAGAGAACGAGTGAGTCTCACCTCTAAACTGGGGCTGGAGCTACAGAGCAGAGGGAGATGGAGCGGGCAGAAAGGCCTGTGCACCTGAGACCTGACTCAGCCCAGGGGACTGCTGACGGCCCACCCACGGCCCCCCCAGACAGGGCTGTGCCGAGAGGCCCCGCTGTCACCCCAGGGCAGTCCCGGCCCCAGCTGAGGACTCTGGCAGAGAAAGCGCAACACAGGGTGGCTGGTAAACACAAACAGCGCGGGACTGCGGTGTGGCCTGAGCGCTGCTCACCGCGATAAAGGGAAGAGAGCCGGCCAGTCTGGGTTCTAACTAAAACACCCGCAGCCCCCAAGTGTCAGCAGTAGCCATGGAATGTAGTGGAAACGTGGGTTTGTTTTCCTTTTCCTTTTTTTCTTTTTTACTTCTGGGCTGTCTGCAACAAGTCTGACTTCTCTTATAGAGAAAATTACACTCATTCCTGCCTGAACACCTCAGCACCACGGGACACGCCCCCAGGCGACGCAGGAGAGGCCAGCCCAGAGCCCTCCCCAGCTCGGGGACGAGGCTGCGTCCTGGGGACAGCACCTCCGCACACGGAGAATGCTCCCCACGTTACCTGGATCCGGTTCAGCTCCACCACAGGCCCATGCTGGCGATCTCGCACCATGGTTGCTTGCACCACCTTGCGGAAAGCTGCCTCCTGAAACATGACAGACAGGTAAAACTCAGACTCTAACACGGTGTTACTCCAGGGCAAATCACGTCATAGATTTTGTTTAACATCTGTTCCTAGAAGTCAAATTTTCTTACAAATAGATAACTGCTTACTCCTTCAGGCTGCATACTCTTTCAAGTGCCAGGCTGAAGGGGAGCTGCCTCAGAGAGCACAGCTGGCAGGAGGCAGAAGGCGCTGGCACTCCGGGACCTGTGGAGTCCTGCACTGACTCAAGTCTCAAGTCAGGCTCTGAGACCCACAGGGAAACCAAAGCTTCCTTCCCTGCCAAGCTCAAGCCCACATGAGGTCTCACACACTAGGCCCAACACAACAGGTCTCACACATTAGGCCTCAATGTTGCTGCCCTGGCATAGATACTAAGAGCACAGCAACAAAGCTGCGGAGAGAGCGAGTGGGGGAGACCTGGCTGAGAGGAAGCTGGTGTGCCTAAGCAGAGATGGCAGGGAAAAGGTGTGGGCGCATGCTCGCCAGGCACACCCAACACGCATGGGCACAGGGAGCAGCCATTCAGACAGAGGGAGGGAGATTCAAGAGACAGTCCGAGGCATCGTCAGAGGGACTCCCAGGACCCTGCCGTGGACAAGACACGCTCTCCCAGCAAGGGAGCACTGGGGCACAGGCACCCACAGCAGGGCCTGGACACCCCCCCACCCCACCCCACAGGCAGGGCGGGCAAGGGCCCAGGGAGCCCAAAGACGCAGTCCCAGAAGTAGAGGGGAGGAAGTGAGGGCATCGCCAGGCACCGTACCGTGGAGGGCAACCATTGCCTCTCCCCGCACAACGCCCACCCGCCAGCTCTGCCCCACCTGCCTCTGACTTCCCACTGCTAGGCCCAGAGATGGCCGCTTCGGTCTCCTCCACCTCCGCTGGCTCCTGCCGGCTTGGGCCTCTGGGCTCATTCAGATGCCCTCATTAATGATTATTCAGAGCCTTGTGAATTACCCTACAGTTAGGATTCTCTACAAATCCTAGCACAGAACTGCAATCCAGCCATTTATAACTTCAGGCACTTTCTTTCTGGATGTCTGGATCCCAGTCCTAACTCGCACAGCCACCAAGCCCCACTTCCTAACCTTTCTAGCAGGGCTGATCCCTTCCTGCTGATGAGGGGAACTGCTCTTTTCCTCTCATTCATGCGGCCGAGGACGCCCTCTGCATCCGTGGGGCTCCCTCCCTCCACTGTCTGCAGGACACTGGGTCTGGATGAGACATGTCCTGTCTCTCGCTCTGCTTGCTTCCTACAGTGAAGGTTTTCTCCCCTTCTCTGCCAATTACCACCTCCACTTTCTGGGACAATGTAAATGTTAAAGTAATCAAGTGTGATCATTTTTACTATTGAAAATTCACTGAAGTGATGTTTCATATCAATTTTACATGCCCACCGTTCTTTCCTGCTTCCCACCATAGAGAGAGGATCTTATTAATAGTCCTATCACTATCCCCGCCCCTCCACATTAAAAAAAAAATCATGTGCAGTTTCCCTCAAATGGAAACAAAGTCAATCCTAAAACATACAGCCTGTCTGGACAGGACTCCAAGAACAGATCATGTGCTTTGGTAACAAAGTCACAGAATCACACTCTCAGGTTAGGAGTCCCCAATCCAGCCTTCTTTTCCAACCCTAACAGTCCCCTAGAATTCTAGAATATCCTGTCAAGCCGTTTACAACATAATGTGTTCCAGTAAAAGGAAGCCTGTACTCCTGAACTAGGCATTCTGTTCTAAAAAGCTCAAATTATTACAAATGTTAAGGGTCCTCATTCATGATTTTCACAGCCTGTTCAATTATCCTTCCTGTAAGAAACGCTACATATCCCAGAACTGCGATCTAGGTCACAGGTACCTTCCAGCACTCTCTGCTGGACATCACTGGGGAAGAAACGGTCAGCGTTTTTCTTGGCTGCTACAGCTGGTGGGCATTTGCCCTGGAGCCCCCAGGCCAGGCAAGCAAAGAGCATTGCAAGGATAGAGGCTTAGTTTGTGAATCCCCCACCCTTTGAGGAAGCGGGAGGCAGAGGTTACCAGGGAAATGCAACAGGAGAGGCAAAGGAAAGTTTTGTCTGATTTTCGGTGATTCGTTCAAAGCACCCAATGTAGACTATGGCACACAGTAGGCCCAGTGAGCATCTGCTGAGTGAGTCACAGTCTCTCCACGCCCACTGAGGCACACTGGAAATGCCAAGCTGCCTACAGCAAGGACTGCCGCAGAGTACCTTTCCCTGGGATATCAGAATTCCTCGCAGGGTATCAAACCCCACGGAAGGCCCAAGCCCAGTCTCATCGAGAGAACCCTCCAAGTCGAACATGGGGATGCAAGGGCAGAAGAGCTCGGAGATGTGATGCAGCAGCAGCAGCCGGTTCCGCAGCGCTATGATGGGGATTTCCTGCAAGTGATTGTACTCCATGGGCACCTGAAACAAGGAGAGCGACGTCAACTGAGGGGTCAAAGGCCCACATAAGCCAGGGTTGGTAGCTGGAGCTTGAAAATACATTCTTTGAAATATATTCTTCTTAAACAGAAGCATTATGACTTCCAACTTTGGTCTGAACGGTTTCACCACTTGAGCCAAATACTGACCTGTGCAGGGAGCTTCCCTGCGCTGGCAGGCTTGCTGGTAGACCACGCCAGGGTGTGTGCCGAGCCGCAGGCCACGCGGTTGACCTTCTTACCCTGGAGGGCAGCTACCAGCCGAGGCCTCTGGATGGCATTTGTTGTTCCATCACCCAGTTGTCCTTCATCGTTGTCACCCCATGTGTAAACTTCACCTAAGGGAAGTGAATTTAGAAGGACTCACACCAGGGCCAGTGAAAACACCACCCGTCTCCCTACAATCACCACTGGGCATCAGCACTCAACTGCCTGAGGGTCAATCTCACGCCTGACCTGCACTGCTCAATCAGCGCATTCAGAGGCAGCACCTCCCTGATTCCTGGCAGTCGGGGCAAGGCCAACAAGCCTTTCCAAGTGCTACAGGAGACTGTCTAATTTAAAAAACCCAACAGTGTTGGTTCAGAGGACTAAGCATGTACCTTCACAGTTCTTAACCAGAATAAACTTTAAAACAGGTGGCCATATCCTCACCAACCCAAAATGATTCTATATGAAAGAAAAGATGGAAGAGAAAAAGTCAATTTTTAGCTAAACAAAACCCATGTTTTTAAAGGAACATGAAGTTCTTCCTATATTCATATGCTGAATACAAGTCACCAGTGAAGAAATGAAAAATCATTCCTCGTGAATGGACCCTAACCCTAAAGTGACACCATAAACATTTTCTAAGGGTAAGGCCACTCAGTGCCTGGATCAGAAATGAGGCTTTCTGGACTGTTACTGGCCTCACCAAAGCCACACACTCTTCAGGGTGTCACACAGACACAGCTCAGCTCTGCAGAGTGAAGGCCCAGAACCGAGGGCACTGTGCATGCGCCCGCCCCTTGGCGCCCTTGACAGCTAAGCCCGGAAGCCCCTGGGTGCTGTGAGAGCAAGAGTAAGGAGAGACTCCTCTGCAGAGGGGCATCCAGGTTCAGGGGAGCGCAGTCCTGAGGGGCCAGGGCTTCCACAGGGTGCTAAGATGTGAGCAGCTTAGCCCACAAGGGAAGGCTGTACACCCAGGCAGGCGTGAAGGCAGCCAGGCTGGGCAGTCACAGCCCCAGTGGGGTGAGAAACCATGCAGGGAAGAGGCAGAAGCAACGATGAGTCTGGCCACATGTGAGAAGTACTGGGATCACCAGACTAGGAACAAGTTCTAGAGAGAGGAACTGCAAGGGTGGAAAGAAGAAAACTGAAATGAAGCCTTTGGTACAAAACTGGACACAGGTTTCCCAACACACATGCAGAGATACAGAAAGAAACACAGAATAAGACTGCGTATTACTTGCACACATATCCCCCCTAGTTCCACCCTCCGGGAGGCGCAGGAGGAACAACAGCCGGAGCAGTGAGCCCACGGGAGGTGCTGTCTCCTGAGCCCCACGCTCCTCTGGAGACAGTAGGCTCCAGAAAGGCCCTAGGCTTGGGGCAGGAAGAGTCAAGAGGGGGACGGAGTGTGTCAGAAAGCAAGGAAGGATCAGGGAGTGATGGGACTTCCTGGGAGTTGAAGCTAGCCAAACAGGACAAACTCTGGAGAGGTTTCATATCACTCAGGGACTGAGCAGGAAGTCAGGAGCCCACACAGCTGACACAAATAAATTCAGTATTTGGTGAGAATGAAATAGTTGCTGAGAAACAGGAACACCAGACAGATGCCAAGTGAAGGCTTGAGACTGGTGTGCATCGGGGTGGGCAAGGTGGGAACAGTCTCAGGGGAGTGAATACTTAATCCACAGAAGCTGACGCTCTCCCTGGTCAAGCATGTCAGAACAGAGTGGACTGTCAGATAACCTGGTGTGCAAGAACTGCCTGGTATACGTGTGTGGGAAATGTCCTCCCCTCCAGGCGGGAGCAGCACTCAGATGTCATCTCCAGTCCTGCAGGACGGAGCTCAGCTCGGCCTCACTGGGCTGTGGGCAAAGTGTCCAACGTGCCTCAACAAAGCCCTCGCCCCCGCTATTCCAGCTGCTGGCAGAATTCAGTTCTCAGCAGGACTCACCTGCTCTGTCCTCGCCGACTGTTAGCTGACAGTCACCCCCAGCTTCCAGAGGCCACCCACATTCTCTGCTTCCTTGCCTCCATCACCAAAGCCAGCAATGGTAGGTGAGACCCTCACACTTGAAAAATTTCACCTGCCTCTTCTGTCACCTCTCTGGCTCACCTGCCCGCTCTTCTGCTTTGAGTGGTCTGTGTGATTATACTAATCCACTAAGTGATCAGGAATCATTTCCAGACTTTCCAAAGTTAGTGGATTAACAACTTTAACCATTTCCGAAGTTAGTGGATTAACAAGTCCCCTTTTTGCCACCGTGTTGGGGCCCCAGGGACTATCCACAGGTGTGCTGATTCACAAGAACTCCCAGGGCCAGTGCGTCCTGCACTCAGAGCTATGGCTGTGGCAGCATCAGCAAAGGGAAAAGAAAGCAGGTGCAAAATTCCAGAGGCCCTTCCCAGAGGCGCTCCGCGGAACACATTTAACTCCCTCAGAGAGTAGGGACCGTGTGTGAAGTGCTACCTACCGGGGCACACTAAGCGCCCGTTTTTTTCACTGGGGCAGGTCTGGTAGCCACCTCCACCTGGCCTATACCCACACTCCAGAACCCAGAAAGGTTTTAGCAGACCCACGCCATGTAACATCACAGTGAGGCCTCTAGTGGTGGGCTAGAGGCCCGGATGGTGGAGCCCTCTGGACATCCCAGTTTCCAGGCCGGCACTCTGTGCACTTCTGCAGCCATGAAATGCAACCCACGCACAAGGCCCAGGTGACGGGGTGGGCAGAGGCGCCTTACACACAACACCTGCTTGCACTGATGCATTCTGGGATCCCTGCCCGCCCCTCGCGGCCCCGCAGACCTCGGCGGTGAAAGCCCCCGTGCCGCCAGCGTCAGGCCTCGCACCTACCATCCTCAGTGCAGCACACGCAGTGCAGGGAGCCAGTGGCGATGGCGATGACTTTCTTCCCCTGGAGCCCTTGGACCTGCCGAGGTCTTCTGACATGATCGTCGGACCCATGGCCCAGCCTGTGGTAGTCGCCTTTGCCCCTGCATGCGAGGCAACATGGAACTTGGCAGTGCAAAGATGGCTCCAAGCCACCCTGCCCCACCCTCACGGCACGAGCACCATGTGAGCATACAACCCACAGCCCACCACCACACAAGTTCACCACACAGTTAACACAGCTTCAAATCAGTGATCTGGTTGTGGAGAAGTAGGCAAACAGGCTCTCACATACCAGGTATAAACAGTGCCAGACTTGGTCAGAGCAACAGAAAACTGGGATCCACATTCCACTTTAACCACCCCGAGGCCTGTGAGAGAGTCGATCTGGAGGGAAAAGGCTCAGTTAGTCTGGACTCATCAAGGATTCGCTGATTGCTGCAACCAAAGAAACCAATCCCACTAATAAAGAACCCTGGGAACCCTGACCCACGTGGACCAGACAGCGCAACTCAAATGCCACTCAGGGCTGTCAGGAGGAAAGTGCAGGCGAAGGCAGCCAGGAAGCCACGCGCCACCCCGGCGCCTGAGCTCCAGAGACCCAGCCCTCGGGCTCCGCGACTGCCAGAAGCGGCTCCCCCAGTCACACTTACCTTCATGGGCACTTTGCAGCCGTCACTGCCCCCTCTGCCCAGCTTGCCGTAGTCCCCGTCTCCCCAGGACCAGACGGTGTCATCGTCAGTGAGGCAGAGGGTCTGCGCATCTCCACTGCCACAAGCCACATCGATGACGCGGTGGCCCTGCAGCGCCTCCACCTGCAGGGAGAGGTCCAGGGTCACTGGCAGCACAGAAAGGGGCTGACCAGAGTAGGTCTGAGGAGACTTCAAGTCCTTTCTGTGCCTGGGTGCCTGTTTCAGACCTCTACAAAGGACAGGGAATTTTCATAATCCCCAAAGACAAAACAGAAAATACTTTTCCATCTATTTGAATTATAGTGCCCCCTACCCCCCACTGTCACCCTTGGTTTTACTGACCCTCAGTCAACCACACTCCCAAAGTATTAACTACAGCAAGGTGCTGAGGAGACGCCATTCACACGCCTTCACTGCCGCTCGTAGTCCTAACTGTCCTCTCATTGTTAGCTGTTGTCATTAAAGCTCTACTTGCCTAACGTGAACTAGCATTCAGCACAGGAAGTCTGCACAGGATAACAGCATGTATGGCTCCTGTCAGGCTCAGTCCTACCCAAGGTTCCAGGCATCCACTGAGGGGCTCGGAGGCTCTCCCCCACAGGTAAGGAGGGGTGATGGTGCACACACCTGCAGGAGGCAGGTGTCAGCGTGCACAGTAAGCCCATTGGGAGAGCGGCCATTCACACCACTGCCTCATCCCCAACACTACAGGCCCTTCTAGAAACCAAGAAACTTTAAAAAGATGTTGTGTGATAGTTACGAACAATTAAAAGATTATTTCAAATACTGTCCTGTTCAAATGACCCATGGGATAAGTGCCAGTGGATTTTATTTCCACCATGAGGCGATGACAGGAAATACTTCTGGCTTGTAAAATGATGCCAGTGGCAAGCTGCCCCCACTCTCCCCGGGGTAGGAAGCCTCACCAGGCACAGCACCTTCCCGGGGCCTTCTCACCAGCTTTGGCTTTAACTGGTCCTCACTGTCGCTATGCCCCAGTCGGCCATACCGGCCCTTGCCCCAGGTGTAGAGGTCCCCAGCTGCGGTGACGCAGGCACTGTGGGCCCCGCCAGCAGCAACATCCACCACCTCGATTCCTCTCAAAGACTCGATGACCCGAGGGCGGTCGCACGGACTGCAAAAGAGGTGATGAAATGTAAGTAAAATACAGTTGTTTTCCCTAATTTATTTCATCATCATCATTATTATTATTTTTAAAGATTTACTTATTTATTCATATAGAACTGGGGTATAGGCCAGAGATGCAGAGGGTGAGAGGATTCACCAGAGACAGAGCGGGGAGCAGAACAGGCAGATCAGCGAAGTACACTGCTGAGGGGAGCAGCGGGCGGGTCAGGAGAGGTCTGCCGCGCCATGTGGATCTCCTCCGGGGAAGGCAGAAATCGAACTCATGCGGAAGTGGCTCAAACTTTTCAGTGCTGTGCTTTAACCCGCTGCGCCACCAGGGAGGGCCCTCATTATTATTTTTTATGGCAACAACATTGGATTACAACACTGTCTGTGATTTAAGGGAATAGGCTCACACCTCCCAGGTGTATGTCACTGTCATAGTTTTTTTCTTAAATACTTTTAAAGTATTCAATACTAGACTCTGGGTTTGCTCCTGACTTGTTCAATTCATGACTCTCAATCTATAGTCTTTTGAATCAACTGCTAAATCAATCTATAAGAGTCATTCACACCTGAACTCAAGATTTCCTAACTTCTTACCCAGCTCGCTTTCTACACACTGCCCTACTGCCACGGAGTGGCCGTCCAGTCTATATCAGGGCTCAAAGACACTGCCCACCTGTGGACAAGTCTGGCGCAAGGCCTGTTTATCAAAGGCTAGTGAGCTGAGAACAGTTTTTCACATTTTCAAAGAGTTGTTTAAAAAAAAAAAGGCAGCCTAATCCTTACCACCATCTGGTCAGCTGTCTGACTTGCTATAAATCAGCACATCATTTAAGGGGTTTTACTGTATGAATGTCAACTTACTATTGAGTGTAGGGAGCTCTTTATAACAATTTTGGATATAAGACTTCAGTGAAACATATGACTGTAAATATGCTTTCCCTGTCTGTAACATCTGTCAATCTCTTAGTAAGTGTCTTTCAAAGAAGTTCACATATTTTGAAGTCCAAATTATCATGTTTTTCTTTAATGGATCATGTTTTAGGAGTTCTACCTAAAAATTTACACATGACCTTAGGTTACAAAGGTTCCCTCTCACGCTTTCTCCTAGAAGCTTTCAGTCTTAGGTTTTATTTTATGACTATGAATTTTGAGTTAATTTTAGATATGGTCCTAGACAAAAATTTAAGTTCACTGCTTCCATACCATGACCCACCTGTTGAAAACCATTTGTTAGAAAGACAACCTTTTCTCCAATAAACAGTCTGTATATTTTCCTAAGTTGTACATATTGGAAATTGCTTCCCATCTGGAAGCTTTCCACAGGCAGGCAGGTGGAGCAATCTTTGGAACATACCTGGTTTGTCTTCTAGTTCTCAGGGATACTACATGCTTACCGCGCACGTTCTTGGTGCCACCGTGCCATACACATAGTCTACAGTTTTTTCAGGTAGGAATGTTCCAGTTACTGTAACTTGGAGGGAGTTCTCACTGATGTCTAAAAACTAGGTTTTCAAACTAGTCTGGTTTAAAAAGTTTGGTTGCTTTGTTTAAAAAACTGTCTTTCCTGTGCCTCCCTCCCTCTGTCATTTCCTCCATACTGACAGTTTTAGTATCATGTGTTAGCAAAATGTCAAATGTGATTCAGTAGATGACTAAGGATCAGAGGGAAGGGGACTTAGAGGAGAAAAACAAAGGAAACATCATATTTAGCACTTAGAAATCAAAGTGCTATGAAATCAAAAGACTCAAAACTTGAGTTTTCTCCCAATAAAGGGCTTCATGTAGGCAAACCCACACAGTGGCACGAAAACTTATTTCTGCCAAATGAGTCATATACATTTAATTTGAATAAACTATTATAAATGTTGTGCTGAACATTGAAACAAAGAAAACCTAACACCGAAAATGAAGTCTGCACACAATACCTTCTGTTGCCATGTCCCAGCTTCCCGTCTTCCGCTTCACCCCAAGAGTAAACTTCTCCCTCTGAAGAGAGGGCAAGGCAGTGCTTTCCGCCCGAGTTCACTGCTACTTTCTTAATGAACACATGCTGAATGGACTCGAGCAGCGTGGGGGTGGACACGGACTCTGTCCCTCCGATGCCCAGTCTGCCGCCAGCGCCATACCCGGTGGCATACAGCTAAGGCAAAAGCAGGAAGTGCAGACATCACATTGTGCTCTAAGCGTCCTATATGTTAGTAGTTAGTAAATGGTGTCAGTGCTTAGACAGTCTGATCACAAAGAAATTACATTTAAAATTAAAAATCACAGGAATGTTTCAGTCTATTTGTCCTTTATCAAAGCTCTAAAAACTGCCTCGGTTGTCAAAGGCTTCTGTGTAATTTTTTGAACAAAGACTAGACCCAGTGACGGGTTTACCAAGTGGAATGCGGCGATAGGGGTGAACTGTCACTTCTGGAGCAGGGCACACCAGCTGTGACTTCTGCTTTGCTATCACTCTCTTGCCTTCTCCCTCACTATTCTGACAAAGCTGGTGACCACTGTGAAATGACAAAGGACTGAAGGTGGCCTCAGCCAACAGTTCAGGAGGAATCACATCAGGCTCCAGAGGATGACAACCTGGTGAGGGATTCTGGAATGGAGGAGCCAGCTAAGAAATGGCCAGTTAATACTGTGTATGTTTTAGGTTTAACCGCAAACGAATATTGTACCACACAGACAAGGAACTCCATGATAATCCTGGATCTCCCAAAAACCTAAACGAAATACTCACAAACACAAGCCACAAGCTGTAAAATGTATCCTGACTGAGTTGAGATTCTTCAAAGAACATGAGAATGTTTAATGTAACAGAACTAATTAATCCATTCACTATATTAATCCACTTAAAGGAAAAAATATTCCTAAGAGCATTTTTTCCTTTAATTAGAAAATGTGTTTAACAACACCCACCTGTGGAGGTGGGTTCCTTGTCTCACACACAATTTGGGGGGTGGGGGAGAATGAAAGGTGAATGGAATGGAAAGAACAGCATAAAATTTATTTCTAGATAGAGCTCTTGATGAAGAAGAAAAAAAAAAATCTTGAGATTCACAATAAAGAACAGAATGTGGTAACCAGATTTAAAACTCACCAGCACTAAGAGCCAACAACAATTTTTAAAAAAGATCTAATACAGATATGCAAACTCTTGCAATAGATATTTATGCAGGCTGCGTTTCAAAATAAAAAATTGTAAAGATCATAAAATATAAACCATAAAGCATATCTCAAGACCCTATAGAAATACTTCAGAACTCTAACTGGTTCCAAGACCTACGAGAACTACTGATCTTGAGCTAATTCTGTTTCAGCAGAACCTTCTCCGGCCACGAGCCCGGCAAGGCCCTGTGTGGGGACAGAGCCTCTCAGGCTGCAGGGGAGCAGGGCACAGACGAGGGCCATTACCTTGCCATCAGCTGTCACCGCGAAGAGCGTCTGCTCGCCTCCAATTAGCTGCACCGGTCTGAGCGTAGCCAGGGCTTCACACGGTGTGGGGACTTTAACTTTTGCTCCTTCGATACCCCCCAGCTGCCCCCGGTGATTGTGTCCCCACCCATAGATTGTTCCACTGCCACCAGCAGAGAGAGTCCAGTCGTCTGGTCGCCTACAGCAAACATCAAACCAACAAGGGGTGTGGGAGAGCCCACGTGAGATGGCTTTCTCTCTCAAGGTGCTGATCTCTGGCTGCTGATGGGATTACCTGTTCATCCACTGCACCAGCTGCTCGTCTTGTTCTCTTTTAAAAATGTCATGGTTCTCATGGAGAACATCCATGTTTTCACTGTCTGCCATTAATTCACGAATTTTCTTAGCCACCTAGACAACATTATGATGAGTCTGTAAGTCACACACATCTCTCAAGAATAAAGCAAATAACACTAAGATAAGAAGACAGGAGGAATGCCCATCTGGGAATACACGGGACACTGAGATCATGACTTTATGGCTAAAAAGCAAAGTCAATATGATTGCATCAAGTCTAAGGTACTAAAAATGTTGCAGTAATACCACTGAGTCTTTCGTTTACTGCAAAGTAAACTTTGACTGAAATGCTCAGTGTCCACTTACTCATTTCATTAGTTTTCTCACCTAGTCCACTTTATACCCTGGAGTCCTGCCGGCAGAGGTGTCTGGGAGGGCAAGGGCAGCTGCCAGCCTGGCCTGGTACTGTCACCCCAGGACATGTCAGGCAACGCAAGGTGACTGAGAGCAGTGCCCCGGCCAACAGAAGCCCCTTGCTCTGTCTCCCGTGAGACTCTGAAAATCTCTTTGAGAGACATTTGTGTAAGATGTCGGGGGAAAGGGTAGCAGAGTTGAGCTGCAGGTGAGAAGCCAAATGAATAGCCCTGCTCTCCTGCATCCGTTAAATGCTTCTTAATTAAAAAAAAGGTGGCGGGGGGAAGGAAGTTACTTTATGGTATTGCTTGGCAAGATGAATTCTTCTGTGTCTCATAATACTGGCAATTTTTCTTTAAACTAGAGCTGAATTTTTTTTTGTCTTTCCAAAGTGAATCCCAAACCAGGCACAATACCTCGTCGAGAAACAGGCGGGGCAGCGGTGTTCTCTTGTCCAGGGCCACCGCCACACGGGAGGCCACGCAGTACCTCCGGAACCAAGCCCACTTGTGGGTCTCGGCACAGCAAGGGAGGGTGTCTAGCTCCAGGTCACAGGCCAGCGCTACCAGGACCTGCACCCACAGAAATGAAAACACAGGCACACTGAGCAATGCAGTGTATGCTCTGCCTCGCCCACACTTTGTGCCAAAGACACAGGCCCCTCAAGGCGGTCACCTGGGCGCCCTTGCCCCGGGCTGTCACCCCGACCAGTGTTTTAGCATCACAGCGATGTGGTTATTTCTACTCAGCTCCGAGCAGTGCGGCTGCTACACGGGCCCTCACGGGCCCTCAGGTCCTCGGCGGCGACAGCACTTAGGGCAGCCACTGAGAAGACCCCTCTGAAAACTGGCTACTACTTAAATCATGTGCGTAAGTCCCATGGTCCTTTCTGGAAATTTTCCACACTCCACATCAGCAGCATCTACATGTGTCCCTGAGGCCTGATGCGAAGGCAATGCACACTCTAGCTCTGATCCCACACCGGCCCCAGCAGCCCCCAACACCGCGAGTATTACCTTAAAGAATGGGCTATGAAGCAGCTGTTTGCCACCTCTCACGATAGGATCTTCATATTCAAACTGTCTTTGCAAAGCTTCCGGAAGGCCTTTCACCAAAGCAGCAAGAGCACTGCCTGTAAAGCTCTTAAAAAAAAAGAAAACAACAACCAAATCACAAACTGCAGGGGAGTGAGTTTTGTTTCAACAGTCAAAGGTTTTATCACATTGATACGATTCTTCTAAAATAACACAATGATACTGAAATACGGAAGAAAAAAAAAAAACAATAGAGCATGACAAATCTAAAATAAAGAGCAGGAGTTCACGAGTTCACCCCCTTTATGGGTGGCCTCACTTTCAGAGCCGCTCCCAGGGGCCAGTCCCGTTCTGGCCCAGAGCTCCACCTCTTCTTGGGTCAGGCACAGAGCCTGTGAAATTCAGGCCTCGCCCAGGAAAAGAGATGTGAAGAGTCCAGCAGATACCCGATCTCTGCGCCATCGACAGTTCACTCTTTCTAAAATAAGTCCAGTCTGGACTCAGTGTGTGCAGCAAAGTAAGGAGGTCTGATGTGACCAAGGCTACCTTCTTCGTAAGTGAGATTTCAAAACTCCTTTTAGTATTCAAATTATTGGTTCAAATTAGTACATTTTATTTCCAAAAGGCCAAACACCTAGAAACAGTAAAGCTCCATACCAAAGCTCGTGCTTCTCCATCACTATCTCCAAGCAGCCTGTTAATGTTGATAGACTGTCCAAATTCTGTGGTAAGCAACTTCCTCAGCCTTTGAAGGGCCCACATTCGGTGACTGGCAGCTAAAACGGGCAGGCGGAAAGCATCAGAAGTTGACCCATTTTCCCAACAAATAAGACAGATCTAAGCAAAAAGGCTACCACTCACCTAAGGCACTCAGCTGGGCGCACGCTGCAAGTGAGGCCGCGAGGCGAGGGACAATGCTTCTGTTAGAGGCCAGGTTGAGCCGGAAGTCTAGCAGACAAGTCACCAAGTCCATGGACGGACAGGAGAGCACGCAGCGGTCAGAAAGGAGGTCTTTAGGCCCTGCGGAGTAAGCACTGTGAGCTCGCCTGTGCGGGACAGGCGAGGGTACCCCGTCGGGGACGCCACACACGCGAGCATCGAGGTGTGGGCCCCATCCATCGGGTGGTACCTGCCGAAGCACAATTGTCTAAGTCACACAACAGATCTTTGCACAATGACATTTATGCGAAAATCCAGCAGCTTACGAACTGCAACCAACAACGGCTCCTTTCCTGTTGGGAGAAGAGGGCACGGTAGCCCCTGACCCCGGACAGGTCTGCTCCTCACTGCACTGGGGGCTCGGGCAGCGCTGGTGCCCACACAAAAGACACAGGCAGGGCGGGGCACGACAGGGCAGGGGTGCGTGCGCACTGTGGCCTTGGGGCACCAGCCCCCTCACCTGCAGCTGGCATGATCGGGTAGACGGTGAAGCGCCAGCCCCACCCGTTCACAGACCCATCACTGATGAACTTCCATTTCAACTCATCCCCTGGGATACGCAGCTCACTGGACCAGTCGGACCACTCTCGGCCTTGTGGAGAAAAAGAGGCCTGGCGTCATGTTCACACCATCATCCGATCAATACCAACTATTTCAAACAGAAAGCAAAATCATTCCCGCCAGGCCTGAAAAACGCTGGCTCCACCAGCCCAAGTTACCCAAATTTAAGTTCACACCACTGTAGGTGAATCACATTTTAATATGACCACTGTGAAACGGACTGTTTTTCACAGTTGAGCAGCCTCCTGCTCCTTCCATAGTCCCACTAAGACCAAAGGAGCAGCACCTCCCTCTGGCACATCCCACAAAGGCCCAAGGCAGCAGCCAGCTTGGTCCCAGCTCCTACCTGACCGCACAGAGACGATCCTGTTGACCCCGTCCATGACCGTGAGGGGGTCGTGGCGCCTCTCCGTGGAACACTGCCGGTCGAACTCCACCCGGAGTCCTTCCGCACCTGCAGGGCAAGTGGAGCCTGACTTCAGGGGGGACCCTTCAACACTGGGTTTGGTGGCTAAGGCGTCACCTGATAATCCATAAGCCAAGCATCTACCTTCCATGGTTTTCTGTACCACATTTTATTAGGCAAAAGAAAGCTTGATTTTTTTTTTTTTAAAGAAAGGGAGGAGAAAATGCTCCTAAAACAACTGGGCAGCTCTTTCCTACCAGACAGCAATGGCGGCTTCGATGGGTGCCATCAAAGCAAGCAAGCGGCCTCACAGGCAGAGCCCGGGCCCGTCCCGCGGCCTGGTACCTGGGATCTTGACGGTGCCGCTGGAGGAGGTGTCGTCCGTGTAGGGGTGGCTGCTCTCCACCACCACTGGCTGGGAGGACAGGCGGCCGCTCTGCGAGTCCGTGGCGACGTCCTCCAACTCGGTGACACAGAGTTCCAGCAACATGTCTGCCACCTGGGGGCAGCGGGGACAATGAGGCTACGCCTCAAGCCCCGCGTACGCTTGTCCCCTCCTGACCTTGCCACAGGGACACGGTGGCAGAAGGGAGGAGCTAGAGTTTGCGAAACCTCACTCAAGTAAGGGCTCAGGTTCCGTGTGTACAGATGAAAGCGGTGAAAAGCTCTCAGAGGGGGCAAAAGCGTGGAAATGCCCCGTGAAACAGCAGCTGGGGTGCCTGACACACACAAGACACTCGCTGTGTGCCAGTGGTGAAACAAAACGGCTGTGGTCGCCACAGCGATTACTTCCTAGTGCGGAAAGTCTGCCTCAGGAACAAAAATACCAAGGGAAAAGCAGGTGAGAAAAGTAATTACGATCCCACACGGAGCTGGGCCTCCGTCAGGAGAGGCTGAATGGTGAAAGCAGGCCCAGCGGGGCAGGTGGGGCGTTACAAACACCAACGCAATGGGGGTTTCTCTGGACGGTCAGGGTCAGCCCCGTACCGTATTTTCAACAGTCCACCTAGGAAAAAGGTAAGCTGGATTCCTGCTTTAATATCCCTGCATCACAATAAGTCTCAAATTGCTTGAAAACAGAAACATAATAAACGAAATCATAAAAATGCTAAGAAATCTGAGGGAATTTTAAAAAAGAATATTTTGTAGGTAAGTGTAACTTGGCACAAGACAAAACCCAGAAAATGTCCATGAAAAAAGCAAAACAAGCAGATCCAACTATGTTAAAAAAGAACTGCTATCTGGCCAAAAAATGCCAAAATAATGTCAAAAGGCAAACGGAGAGGAAACCACAGCTGCTGTGAGAGAGGACACTGCTTCCGGGAGTCCTGCTACGTGGCCCTACACTGGATGGAATCAAGCACAATCTAAGGGACGGTGTCAACAGCAGTGTCCATGGAAAGAAGGCCCTTGCCGTGCAGCTCACCTGGGGGTAGGCGGTGCCCATGCCGGACAGCACCGCCGAGAGCACGTCCCTGCCCCTGTCCCCCGCCCGGCTGCACACGGACAGCTTGAGCAGGTCCACCACCACCCGGGTGTCGTCAGCGACCAGCAGACTGGTGAACTCATCCAGGGACTGAGGTTCTGGACCTGATGTCTTGTTTTGGCTTTCAACATCCTAAAAAGTGCCAACAATGACAATGAGGAATGCTACGTCAAGAGGTCGTTACCCATAAACTCAAAGCATGCATATACCACTGGCTGAAAAGGTATTTCAGGGGGCAGTGAAGACCATGTAGTACCAGATTCAGAAACAACAGGCCCCTAAAATCTCTAGCACCAAGTAGTATGTTTTCAAGACCAAATAACTTCTTTACAAATCACCAAAAGCATCTGTACAAAAGTAAAGCCTTGGAGTACAAAGAAATGACAATTTATGCACCGACCAAGTTGTGTCTTAGATTTACATCATAGGGGAGGCTTGGAATAAAGCCTCATCATGAAAAATCAGTCCCCCGGCCATATGATAAGCTTGGGGATTTCTATCAACTCAATTTGGTCACCGAATTTTTGTATCTTTTGTCGAGAGACCCTCTCAATTCATTCCTAGAATCTTATTTAAAATGACTCGGAGGTCTGTAGCACATTATCAGTCAGCTCTTATTTCTTGGGTTCTTTGGAAATAATCCATATTGAAGACTAAGGCGATACACACAGGTGGGGTTAGCCCTAAACCTATAAAGAATACCACTGCACAAGTTGCAAAATTGCGGTGCGAGGATGAGAAGTGAGCCTGGCTCGCCGTCCTGGTACTTGAAAGACACGCACTAGTGCCCTGAGGGGTCATGCTGCTCTCTCACCCGGTGCAAAAATGCTACCAAGCAGAGAATCTAGGTCAATGTGTCAGGGAGCACATGCTGTGTTCTAGATCTGTGTACTATTTCTAAAATTTCTAGGTACATTTAAGATGATTTCAAAAGAAATTGTTTAAGAAGAAATCCCCTTGACCTCTTTAGTTTTGGTCATAGTCTCTGCAATGATGCTGGCAGCTCCTGGGTCATCTGTCACTGGAATAAATGGTCGAGAAGAAGCTGAGGACGCAGATGGGGTCACCGCAGATGGGGTTACAGCATCCTCAGAAGAGATCATCTAGTTGACAAATACACAGGAAGGGGGAACTCAACATGGCACACTTCCCACTTAGGTCTAAAGAGCTGTCTGGAACATTCCAGATATTGTAGAGATAACAAGGTGGTTATCCCATCTGCTACCACCTTTAGTGGGATCTATACAGCCTTGCAAAGCCAAGCAAATTCATATATCCAGGGAAATGTCTGAGCATTCACAACAGATCACACAAAGACTAAAATAAGCTCACATTTGTTCAAGTTGGGTTTTCCCCCAATAGTACTTTTCAAAAACTTCTGGCTTCAGAAATGCAGATAAAGGACTATGGGTCTACATTAAACAATGTTTAAAACAATAATAAATCTATTTCCATTAAAATTTTAACCAAGTTCCTATAAATATAGTATTTTACAGTTTAAGCCAAAAAATCACAGCAGTCGGTAAACACTGAGTTATGTGAAGCGTGCCTTACGCTTTTCTAGACACAACAGCAACTCCTTTTCAGTAAAGATCAAACAGAACTTTACTAGGTTGCTCCTTAGTTTTACCTCTCCCCTCTTTTCTTGCCATGGATTTGGACTCAGTCTGTCTTCCATATCAACGGCGAGCACACATTCCTCTCCATTCATGGGACTGGCCATGGCAGATGCGTCAGAAGGGGCTGCCGAGGAGAAGGAGGCACACTCCACCGGGGACATCATGCCTGCTGGCATCAGGGCCCCAACCACCGCGTCTCTGTCAGGAAAGAAAGCCAGGCCTGCACAGTACTGTCACCCTGCAGGACAGCAGCCAGGACATGGGGACTGGCTAAGGGCTAAGTACTCGATACTCAACACAATGCCTACTCCAGATCATCAGAACACCACACAATGACAGGCGGTAAGAGGCCCACACCAAGCGCCTCCAGTAGCAAAAATCAGACCAAAAGAAAACATGCAAAACCTAGGACCCAGACCAGATTAAGCCTCTGGGTTTTCCTGAGAGTCTTCCTGGATTATCACTGGAAACTGGGCACCAAGGTACCTCAAAAAAGATGGCCAGAACTAAATGATTTCTCAGTAGGCTCTTATTCTGAAACTAAGAATGCAGGGTACTCATTCCCATTCACCAGATCCACTGTAGTATCAATGATACCACACCACAGCTTGCTTAGGTTGTGAGAACATACAGCAAATATAAGAAAAGACGACACTATAAAACTCTGCCTAATGTGTTTAAATGAAGAGAATGACAAATGGCCTTAAATATTACCACACATTAATTTCAGCTAATTGTTCTATCTTTTTGCAACCATTAAGGGTTGGAATTTACTGTTCATAAAGAAGAAAGAAATTCTTGGTCCTGATTTTCTGATTCCTATTTCAAAGTGCACTGAAGGAAAAAAGACACCAGCACCAAAGGCGATAGGACCTACTATGCGCAGTATTTAGCTGCACATTCTCTGAGACTTCTGGATCAATTAAAAGTTACAAAAAACCAAAAAAAAAAAAAAGTTACAAAAGCCTGGGCCCTCCCTGGTGGTGCAACTGGTTAAGGCACAGCACTGTGAGGCTCCTGCAGCCGCTGCAGCATGAGCTCGATTCCTAGCTCCAGTGGTGACCCACATGGCGTGGCAGACCTCTCCTTAACATGCCTGCTGCTCCCCTCAGCAGTGTGTCAATCTGCCTGTCCTGCTCCCCACTCTGTCTCTAGTGATTCCTCTCACTGCCCCCCGTACCTCTGGCCTGTACTCCAGTTCTGTATGCATAGATAAATAAATCTTAAAAAAAATAAAATAAATCCATTTAAAAAAAGGTTACAAAAACCTAAAGGCTACACAAATGCAGGATTTCAGAAGTCAGAAAACAAGCCTACCTGGCATACATGATTTGCAATGCCGTAAGTATATGAGATAAGGCCTGTTGTTTGGCCAGATTTCCATCCAATGACAGGAGAATCTTGGCAAGGGAAGGGCGGTTCGGCTTAGAGTTACTTGCACCACTGATTTTATTACTGGCAGCAGAAGAATCAGCATCTGAAGGCACACCTGAAAACCGAACATAAAATTTGAGTTCAATTTCTAAAATCAGTTTGCTGTATTTCTGTTGGTTTTATTTGTCACATTCTAGTTTTGTTTCAATGCATACCAGAGGAAATTTTAAAATGCAGAAAACTGAATCAAAAAGAAAATGCAATGCATTTAAATTTGTGAGATGCAGAGGTAATGCAGGGCTGAGAGGAAAACTTACATTGCTGAGTTTATATTAGAAAAGAGGATGGTCTCATATTAATCACCTATGCTCTCAATTCAAGAAACTAGAGAAAGAATAGCACAATAAACCTAAAGCAAGCATAAAGAAATAATGAGCAGAGAACAGAAACCAATAAAGCTGGAAAAAAAAAAAGAAGATAAAAGACAGAAAATTAAAAGCAACAAAACCAAGTAAGGTTTATTCTAGGTATGCAAAACTGGCTCAGAAGGTGGCACAGAAATATACATAGCAGGCTTGCTTGCACTAGCCAAAAACCAGTAATAAGTCCAATAAATGTCCTGCAGCTTGTGAACCATGGAAGTGAACTCAATAATAACAAGAAGTCAACTACTAGTCCAGGCAAAACTCAGATGAACCTCCAGAAAAGTACACCGACTGGAAAATGCAATCTCAAATACATAACACACCATGTGACAGGAAAAGCTTTAAGAATACCACTATGAGGACCTCCCTGGTGGTGCAGTGGGTTAAGGACAGCTCTAAGAAGCTAAACCCACTTCAACATGAGTTCGATCCCCATCTGCCCCGGAGGTGACCACATGGCATGGCACACCTTTCCTGACCCGCCCGCTGCCCCCCTCAGCAGTGTATTTCAGTCCATCTGCCTGTTCTGCTCCCCACTGTCTCTGGTGAATCCTTTCACCGCCCCTGCACCTCTGGCCTGTACCCCAGTTCTGTATGCATAAATAAATAAATCTTAAAAAAAAAAATACCACTATGAAACCAACTAAGAATGTCCTAGAAAGAAAACAGCAGCCCTTGTTCATACAGTCAGTTCTGCTGATGCCAGAAACCCACATTTCAGTTATTTATCAAAGCAAGTGGCCTTGGAGGGGATAGGTCCACTTTTGAGAGACAGAGGCAGAATTTTATATTAGAGTAAGAGAGATAAATTTCCTTTAAAAAAAACAGTAATATTTCTATACACTTACAGAAGTAACTTGGATATTTCTAGATAAAAGCAAAGAACAGAATTTTTTTAAACATTATTTACAAAATTGAGAACAATGTAAATTACTTAGTGGCAAATGCAGCAATACTTATACACTAAGCCATAAAATATTGCTGAGACAAATTAAAGACCTAAACAGAAAGAAACACTACATTCACGGGTTGGTAGACTCAAAATTGACAGATGATGTCCATCCTCCTCCCGTTTAGTCTATACCCAATAAAATCGAAATTCCAAGAAGGCTTTATTTTATAAAAATTGACAAACTAAAAGATATTGAAATATTTTAGGCAAATGGCCTGAAACATGTCTGAAATACCCAAAACATGTCTGAAAAAGAACAGAACCTAAAAAACTACAACCTGCCTGAATTTTGGTGATTTATGAAGCTTCAATAATCATGACAATATGGTATCAAAGTATATAAAAAAAAAACAATGAAACAGAACCAAGAGCCAGAAATAGGTATATACACCCACACATGAACAACTGATTTTCGACAAAGATATAAAGGCAATTCAACAAAGAAAAGACTTTTTCCAATAAATGCATCTGAAATTGGTTATTCACATACCAAAAACCAAATTTTCAACCCACACCTCACAACAGATAGAAAATTTACTCAAGATCAAGCACAGGCCTAAAGATTATATAAAACTATACAACTGATATAAGAAAACACAAGAAATGATCTTTATGGTTTTGAGTTAAAGGTTTTACAGAAACAACACCCAAAATGTGAGGCATAAAAGATAAAAATGGAAAACTGGACTTTATTGAAATTTAGAAATTCTACTCTTAAAAGTCCACCTGTGAAGGGTAAAAAATGAAGATGAGCCACAATGGGAGAAATTGTTTACAAATTATCTATCTAACTAAAGATTTGTACAATATAACAATATACAAAGAACTCTCAGAACTTAGTAATAAGAAATAGCCTAATTTTAAAACTGGAGAAAAGATTTGAAAAAATACTTCAGCAAAAAAAGTATTTGGATGGTAAATTTGCAAGATGCTCAACACCCCTAGGGAAATGGTGCTAAAATTATTAAACTTAAAGACTAACCACACAAAGTGTAGACAAAAACACAGAGGAGCTGAACTATGGTGCTGCCACTCTGCAAAAACAGTTTGTAGGTATCTTCAGAAGCCAAACATACACCTCACAGATGATCCAATCCTTCTTTTCCTAGTATTTACCCCGGAGAAATGCAAGTGTATGACATATGAAGTCCTGTTCATAGCAACTGTATTTGTATAGCCAAGAACAACCCAAATTTCCATTAATGGGAGAAAGGTTCAACTGCAGCATACTCCAAAATGAAATATTAATCAACAAAGAAAATGAATAAGCAACCTGCATGGACCTCAAAATAGTTAATGTTCAGTGGAAAAAGAGATTTTTTTTTTAAGTACTTACTATATGATTCTAGTATTTAAAACTCTAAAAACTGCGACCTGAACTACCACGACAGAAACAACCTGGTGGCTGTGGGAAGTAGGGGAGGGGCTGTATCACATGTCAAAGTGGACGGAAATGAAAGAATGTGCAGTTTAGTGTATGTAAATTATACCCCGAATATTGAACTATCAAGCAGGCCAGCAGAGTGCCCATGATGCTACTACAGTCTTCTCTGTTTTTATATGTGAACAGCACAGCCAGAAGTGGGGTGATCAAAACACAAGAACCCAGCATCACACTTTCTTGAAGGCTTTCACGCTAGCATGCAGAATCACAGCAGAGAGCCCATGACTGTCCTGTGACTGGGCTCAAGAAAGCAGTTAAGAAAGCAGCTGAAACAGTCCACGTCTGGCCTGGTGGCCCTTTTAAACACCCCACCTGAGATGCTGCTACCACAGAAAGGAGCTCGTAGAAAAAGCAGAGTCTGTGTTACCTAAGTAGGAAGCACCTAAGGGGTCTCTCGCAGTCTGGAAGAGGACGGGCTCGTGAACGGAGGGCGTCGCCACGTCCACGGTCGTCCACGCCACGCTGTGCGACGACCCACAGGCCACTCGTGTGATCTTCTGGCCTTCTAGGCCGTGCACCAGGGTGGGCTTTCTGTTCACTGTGGTCGTGCCGTTGCCCTGCTGGCCATGGTCATTGTCACCCCAAGCATACACCTAGTGAGGGGAGAGAAAACTTCAGAATTTTTCGGCATTTCAGAACATCTTCATTTACTTCAATATGTTTAAAATCATAGTACGCAAATGAATGAATCTCAAATTTATCATTTTAAACAAAGGTATCGGTGTACTGTATTTCTAAGGTATATTTAACCATGAAAATTCAGGTCACTGGCTACAAACAAGTATTTACCAAATATAACTACAATTAAGTCATCTAATCTGTTAAGGTCAACTAAGGGCAATAATGTTCCCCCTTTGTTTTACAAAGAAAGATAATCAAAAAATATGGTTGGTTTTCAAGTAGTTCACTTCTTGACTTCATGGAATTTGAGATGTAACTCATTTTAATTTTAAAAAGTGTGACAGATTGTTGTCTTCTATTAAGAAACAAACAAAAAAGAAAGTGTGCTAATTTGCTGTCATGAAATTGTTTTTAAATAAAACATCCATGATGTGAAAGCAAAAGAATGAGCAATACTTGTTCAGGATAATTTTTAAAAGTGTGTGTGTGTGTGTGTGTGTATGTATGTAGTATAAAGTGTCCTCCCTATCAGCTATCCATTTCTAAAGTGAAATGCTATTAATGCCTTAGCCATGGGAGCATTTTCAACAATAACAATCTCTTCACATTTCCAGGTGGACTACAGAGCAGGAAATCCACTTCCTCAGGACATGCATCAGCCATGTAAGCCCCTCCTCCTCACCCCTCTCACCCCTCACCCATACTGACAATTAGGCAGACACACATGGGAACAGCCTGCCCTACTGGTTCAAGTATCAAAGTGTAATCTTATTTCATCACCAGCTACACTTCCAACAGGACCGGGACTTCTCACCCTTACTTACCTGCCCCGCATCCGTGACTGCCAGGCAGTGCAGGGCTCCAACGGCCACATGCACAATCTTCTTCCCTCTCAGGCCTTCCACCACCTGTGGCTTCCGCACATGCACATCTGAGCCATGGCCCAGCCTGAAGTAATCCCCTTTCCCCCTACAAGGAGGTCAACAGTGCAAGTTTAATATATGGTGACTCTGCCAAAGTCCACAAGAAAACACTCCCTGTTTTACAGCCTTAAAATCAACCCACTGCTATCCTCACACAGCACCCACAGCCTTTTGTACCTCACAAAACAGTGTGCCATTAATTCAAGTTAATTCATTAAGTCTGCTAGCAAGCTCTTTAATGTGTGTTTTACTACACGTAAGTTCTTGATACAGGCTTTCACATAACAAGATTAGTTAACTGACATCCCTGGTGACACAAGGGGTTAAAAGTCTAAATGCTCTCAAGCTATTAATCCCCAGCCTGGGACCTGACCCACATGGCACAGCAGACCTCTCCTTTCTCTCCCGCTGCTCCTCTTGGCAGTGTATTTCACCTGTTCTGTTCCTCACTCTCACCCCCTGCACCTCTGGCCTGCACCTCAATTCTTGTATGCATAAATAAACAAATAAATCTTTTTTAAAAAAGAGATTAATAACACCACATCTACCAGCTCTTAAAAGTCCTCTCTGTGGGGTTCTTCTTCAAGCTGCCTGCGGTCACAATAAGGCCCATCACACTGTCCAGGTCAGCTGGGTACCCACCTTCCCGCCCTTTTTACTTTAATAAAATAAACTTTCATGAAAACACACACAAGAACTTTTTGAGGATCAAAGAAATGAGGAACCTGTTTTCTGCCCATTCGATCAAAAGGCGCCTGGTAAGGAAGCAGGAGAAACCCTCTACATAAACGTCACCCAAACAGGAAACACGGTGGGATAAAATTTCTGTAGGCCCTTTATCAAAGATCCAGTTATAATGGGAGATTTCTTCTTCTAATACTGTCACTAACCCCAAACTGAAGTAAAGGACAGCGGTAACCTGCTAAATATGAAATTAAGGTTCTGCCACCCCTCCAGGGTGGGGAGGGGATGGTGATCAGCACCCTGCCCTTGCACAAGCACACACGCCTGGGTACCAGTGTACGTACCACGTCCACACCACTCCCGACTTGGTGAGCGCCAAGGAGAACTGAGCCCCACACTCGATCTGGCACACGCCCTGGCCATTGAGCCTCTCGATATTCTGGGGAATGTTACAACCTTCACTTCCTCCCCGGCCTAATTTTCCAAAGTCGCCATCACCCCAGGAAAATACCAAACCTAAGAATAAAAAAAGTATATCATGAAGCCCACTGCTGCCTGATGTCCTCATCACCCAGAATCCAGAGTCGGACGAGCGCTCACCTTCGTCAGTCAGAGCCAGGGTCTGGGCGTCCCTACTTCCACACGCCACCTGGATCACTCTGTGACCAAGAAGCACTTTCACCTACTCAATTACAAATTTAAAAACAGAATCAAGCACAGGCACTGAGAAAGCAAGGGAAATCTTCCCAACAGAATGAGAGTCAAACATGCATGTCTTTATAGACTTTCTTAAGACTCAAAGCTTATCTGCTCCTGAAATCGGCAGATGGGAAGCTTTCAGCAATCAACAAAAATGTATAGTCAGGGCCCTCCCTGGTGGCGCAGCGGGTTAAAGCACGGCATTAAGATGCTAAAGCCACTTCAGCATGAGTTTGATCCCCGCCCCAGAGGTGACCCACATGGGGCAGCAGACCTCTCCTGATCTGCCCGCTGCTCCCCTCAGCAGTGGACTTGGTCAGTCGGCCTGTTTTGCTCCCCACTCTGGTGAATCCTCTCACCCCCCACACCTCTGGCCTGTACCCCAGTTCTGTATGCAGAAATAAATAAATCTTTTTTAAAAAAGTGTATAACCACCATTTTGGGCTTCAGTTGTGTCGTATTATCCCCATGCCCCAAACGGCCATATTCCCCGAGGCCCCAGGTATACAGCTCGCCACTGGAGGTGAGGGCCGCACTGTGAGAGCTCCCGCAGGCGATATCCCGGATACGCTTGGTCTTCAGGGCCTCTATGAGCCGTGGCTTGTCACAGTTCCTATAGCAAGATTACAACAGTGTCCTGATAATCCAGTCTTTAATGAAGACAAAATAAAATTTACACTGACCCAAAACACCTGCAGATCAATTTAACTCTCAGACCTTAAAACAGAACATGTGCAACCCAAGCATTTTCATAGACTTTGCGGGGTAATTTTTAATCTGTATTTCCACAAAAAGCCTATTTCTGCAAAATAACTATCAAAGAGCCTTCAACAGTATCCGATTAGCAAATGATGACAAAAACATTCTTACATTCTGCTGAAGTGCCCGAGTTTGCCGTCATCACCTTCACCCCAGGAAAACACCTTCCCGTCCACAGTCAGGGCCGTGGCATGGCGACCACCTGCAGCAGACGCACAGACACGGCCGCTGCTTACAGACGTTCACGGAGCGGCCGCTCCCCGTGCTGTCTGTACGCAGCGTGTACCGGGTGGCTATGTGCTAAGTAAATGAGTACACAGGATCAGCATTTCAAGGAGACAGAACCAGTGAGCAAACTTTCACTAAGCTCCAGAGTTTAAATCCTAGGAAGAGATCTGCTTGCAATGAAGAAGCAAAATAATGTTTATCCACAGTTACTAAAATTCTGAATACGTAACAGGTCAAAACTCAAATGGAAAAAGTGAAAATAAATATGCCTGTAAGTAGGCACATGAAGAAATGCAGCGACAATTTCCGCTTCTGAGTAACGCAGACCACCGGCAGAGTTCTCAAGGCAGCGGGACTGCGCCTCGGCTAACCAAGGGCCCCGGCCCTGCCTCGCCACAGCGCCCCGCCCTGTTCTTCTGATCCACCCAGGACTGAAGACACCATCTTCACTGGCATTTCCTGTTGGTCACTGGTGGGCCTGCCGGCTCGTGGGTGCCCAGTCCCCACTCTCACTCTGCCCTGCTCCTTGCCAATAAAACCCTGCTTCTATGAGCAACAACATGGTCGGCTACACACTACACCTCCAGCCTTTCCCAGAGGGTGGGAACCGGGTGTGGCACTAATGAGGCTTCCAAAAAACTTCTGTAACGGGGCCAAGTAGGCTAGAAAGGTGCAGGAGCGCCATGGGGGCCTCGCACCTGAGTGAACCGCCACCTTCTTGACCACGTAGCTGCTGAGTGCCGTGATCTGCCGGGGGATGGGTACGGTGCCACTGGAGATGCCCAGCCCCAGCCGACCATTCGTGGCTTCTCCACAAGCGTAAACCTTCCCTTCCACGGTCACTGTAAAGGGCAGAACAAAGACAGGACTCACCTTTCACAACATAATAACTACGTGTTTAGTGCTAAGTATAATTTTAAGATATCAGAATTTGAATCATACCTACCAGCAAACAAACTTTTAGAACCACCAGCCACCTGTACCACATTCAAAGCAGACAGGGTCTCAGAAAACGAAGGAACCTTTATCTAGAATGAGATTTTTTTAAGCAAAAGAAGGGGGAAAACTTGTTTACAATTTTAAGTAACCTTGTTAGAGACAAGAAATTACTATTACTTTGCATGATTGTTTTAACAAAAAAATATTTCCTTAGAACTATATATAAAGTGTCTTAAGGACAACATAGTGAGATTTAGTTTAAGATAAATGGGGGTGAGAGATGGTTGTATAGGTATACGGGGCGTGCAAGAAATAAAGACAAAGCAAGGCCATCAGCCAGGAAGTGGTGAAGCCAGTACCAGGGGCCCAGCTGCTGTTATGCCCCTCCTGGACAAGGGCACCAGCCAGCCTCACTCACGTGGTGACAGGGGACATGTGGTGAAGGTGACAGCAGCAGGGAGATACCTTAGAGCCTTTCAGTCCTCCCAGCTGGTCCTTGTCATTCAGTCCCCACACAAACACTTTGGTTCTTATCGTAGCAGCAGACTCCAGCCCTGCAGCCTTCTTTCTGATAAGGCTAGTCAAAGAAAAAGGACAGAAATGAAGGTCTTTCAGCATAAAAACTCTTGTTCAGTAAATAGGAAGGCAACCTCAAGTTGCTTAAAGCTGCAACTTCAAGCATGCAGTGTGCTGGTTCCGATCAGAAACTATTTTAAATGTTTTAATACAATGAAACTTTAGGTATACACAGAAGGGTTCCAAAGGGCTGAAATTTCTAGATACCTGCATACTACCTTCTAATTTAACTTTTCATTTTTGGCAGAGACGTTTCTATAGTACACGCTGCAGTTCTGTCTTCTCCAATACCAACGTGACAGTTGTTTACCAACTCAGAGATTCCTGCCCATCATGCCAACACACAACTACTACATGTGGAATTGGAGGGCACCTAAAATGGCCTGAGGAGTCACCGCTGAGGGGACTTGTGGCAGCGTTCCCTGTAAAAATTTACATACAGAAACCCTATGAAATGAAGGTGGAAGGTCCCACGCTTAGACAAAGAGCCTGCTCTCTGGGAGCCGGCATGCTGGGCTCTACTTCTCTCCCCAAGGGGTCTTCCTCATATCTCCAGGCTCCTAACGGACAAGATGGCTCTGGCCATCTTGCTCACCCCATTGCCTAACCTACCCCCAATGGGTTAGAAGTTTAGTCCAGAGAATACTCTTGATTCTTGACCTTGAGGAGAACACGAACTACTCAGAGCAGTGTTAGATTTTCTTGGCTGTTCATTTGAACCCTGGTGCTAAGAACTGCTTTTTTCGGTTTAGGGTTTTCAACTCTTTGTTTTTCTTCTTCTTTTAAGATTTATTTTGCTTATTTATGCATACAAGAACTGGAGGTATCAGAAGTACAATGGATATTCTAACTTTAGGTTCAGGATAGGTTTGGAGATGTAAAATGTGGAAAAACTCCTTTGCCTGATACCAGGCATAAGAAAACAAGTATATAGACACTGTAACCACTTGATATACACATTTTCAGTCATAAATGTATTTGCATGGGACAGCAGGGAATGTTCAAGATATGTAATGACTGGTACCATGTTTTAAGTATTGACCAGTCAGAATGGAGGCCAGTCCAGCATTCAGCATGGACACATCCCACTGGGCCCTACCCTGTGGAGAACTGCAGGGATCACTCATTCAGCCTTATGCTGCCAGCTAATTAATGAGCTGGATAGCAAAAGAAGCCATTATATTCAAGTAGCTAAATTTCTTCTGCAAATATATTCAGTTATGTAGAAATTTCATTCATGAGCAAGGCTCAAAATTTTGATGCTTGTAATAAATCTAGTTGCCTAATTCATTTTAGTAGCTACTGAATAAGAAAATAATAATCTATAATCTTTTTAAAAATCCCAATAACTGGACCCTCCCTGGTGGCATGGTTGGTTAAAACGCAGCACTGAGAAGCTAAAGGCACTTCAACATGAGTTTGATCCCCACCCAAGGTGATCCACATGGCGTAGCAGACCTCTCCTGACCCACCCGCTGCTCCCCTCAGCAGTGTACTTCAAGCCATCCCGTTCTGCTCCCCACTCTGTCTCTGGTGAAGCCTCTCACTGCCCTTGTACCTCTGGCCTGTTCCCCAGTTCTATATGCATAAATAAATCAATCTTCAAAAAAAAAAAAAAAATACCGGTAAAAGAACTGGCACTTTCTTCACTTGGTTAAATTAATATATTTTGGTGTAATCAGAGTGAACAGTATATATTCTAGATAATGTAGTGTTATACATGCTACCCTCTTATAGAACAGGAAAGAATCCAAATCCAGTCTCACAACTCTAGAATGACCTGCTTTATTACCTCAGTCATTACCCATTCATATCTAAGAGAATGAGCTTATTAATAGCATTGCAGAGAGCGCTCCTATGTTTCAGAAAGACTACGTGGAACACACTAGGAAGCAGTCGGTGTAAAGGGCAATGATGTACAGCTCACCTACTGCTGGCACCTGCCTCCTCCTTCCTCTCCCCAGCCTTCCACCCCGTCACCCTGCAGGAACACCGAGACATCAGCCATAGAATTCGCGTAGCCTTTTGACTCGACAAGTGCACTTCGAGCAACTTCTCTAGGAAAATACAACCTAACTGAGGGCACGACTGTCTGTGCGTTTGCTGTGGGGATGTCAACAAGGCTCAGAACAGCTCCTGCACACGAGTCCTCCATCACACATCGCAGAACAATAGTGCAAATGTGCATCAACTTGGCAGTTCTCTTTCTTCCACCACAGTATACTCTGCTCCCTGGCAGAAAACACCCTTTCTTGCCCCGGCGTTTGGATAACTCTTGACTTTCCTGCAAGCCTGTCTTTAGGGAAGTTGTCCTTGTTCTTTGACCGCTTAGTGGTCATCTGCAGACTCTCAAAGCATCCTGCACCTCTCCTATACATATGTCTCACGGTGGTAAGGCCACACTGACGTATGTGGGTTTATCTTATTTTATTTTGCATGTTCACCATGACATTTGCAGACAGAAAATAAAGGGTTTAGCCCCAGGTGTTCAACAGATATCTGGTGAATAAACACCATAACAGAACCACCACGGTGAAACAAGGAATTGAGTAAATAAGAACAAAATTCTGCACTCAATAAAATTAGACTGTAGAAAACTATTTAATGGCATGGCTAGTCTGCTGCTCATGGATTTTTTTTTTTATTGATGTTAACATTAAATTAATGCAGAAGTTAATGTTAAATACAATGAGGTTATCTTTAATGCCAGTGAACTTAAAATGGTTACAATGGTGTGTAATGTATATTCTTTCATAATAAAAAAATTTAATTTAATAAAAAGGATAAAATACTTAGTTAACGCTAAAATACTTAGCATAAAAGGTTATTAAATATACCATACCATACCATACCATACCATACCATTTCCACCAAAAATCGCAATTAGGGATAGATATAAAAGAAAGCTATGAGGATATATACCTAACTATTAACAGTAGTATTTTAGGTGGAAATTTAATGGTATTTTTCTAAATATGTGTGTCTGCATTAAACATTCTGCAAAATAAAAATTAATTTTTTTTAAAAACTTAACTAAAATTTACCCAACATTCCTGTGCACATAAAATCACTCTCCTTTGAGATACACTCTAATTAAATATTTTAGAAAGTAAGAATTCTGGAATGAGCACCACCACCAAGTGGCTCTTACCTTCCACTGCTGCCTTTATCATCTTCTTCCTCTTCGTTGTCTGAAGCAAGGAAGGGAACTGCAGCCAAATCTTCTTCCTCTGCACGGATCCGCCCCAACAAGATGAGGCCATGGATCTTGCAGTCAATTCCCGAACTCCTGCACTGCTTTATTGCAATCTCAATGTACCTATGATACTATTAAAAAAAAAAACACACAGTGAGCTACGGACTTTTTAGAATCACATGCATTAGCTACCGCAAAACAGGGCACATGAGACATGGAATGTGTGGAAAACCCGAGTGCCCAAAGTTCTGGATCAACCGAGTAAGGCAAGGTCAAAGTGGCCACGTTTGAGGAGTATCTGCTTCAAAGCAAGTCACTTTTCATTGATTCACTGAGTTCCAAGGCAAGGGATTCAGTGACTTTCTTACTAAAATGAAATTATACGATAGCCTGACCAAATGATTACAAGCCTAAATGAAAATCTACTAAGAGATTAAGTGTCAGATAGTTGACAGCCTTTCAAAATTTTTATATAACTACATATATAAAAAGTTAGAGAAAATAGTACAAAGAACCCACGATCCCACAGCCAGTTCAACATTATCAATGCAGAACCAGTTTCGTGTATGTATGGATGATTACCCCCAGGCAAGCACACTGCTTCAGAACGTCAGTGTATGTCACTGAAACCTCCCTCTTGTCATAGTGCTGCCACTCATCCTTTAAAGTCAGCTCTCTGTCCTGTGGGCTGCCCCATGTCCCATGGCGGCATGACAGTATTCCTCAGTCTCTGTTTCACGTGAACAGAATGACTCAGGGAGCACACGCTCTATCAGTGACTGGTTAGTGCCTAAAGTGGGCCTGGCCAAACCCTCAGGTCTGTTCAAGATCTACTGTGATGAGACTGGAGTCCAGGAAGTGCAAAAAATTGTCTTATTTGTATTATTTCAGATACACATTTAAAAATTATTAAAATAGTGTTGACATCTGTGTAGAAAGATTCAATTTAATAAAAAGGATAAAATACTTCAGAATAGTTGAGTTTTCAAAAAAGTCACTGATTCTCTCAGAATTTCAAGATAAACAACTTAGAACCATTCTGTAAGTCACCTGATTGCCAATCCAAAACAAACCAACAGCTCAGCATTTCATGACAAGTTCAGCACTCGATGCCAACAGATGTGAAAAGAAAAAAGCAATTTCAGTGAGTTATTATACAGACAGAAAAAGCAGGGCTCACTAGTGGATAGCCATGAACACCCCTGATGCCAAGGCAGCCTAAGCGCCTGGGGGTGACTTCTGCTGGAGCATTCACCCCCTATTTCTTACCAAAGACAGTAAAAAGAAAGTGACTGTTTTCTTTTCAAGCTGATCTGAAAAGCATTTCAAGTTTTGTGTGTGAAATTTTATAATGAACTCAATTAAGAATGAAAAGTGGGCTCAATGTTAGTCCAGAATCAAACGGTCATCCCCATTATCATTTGCAAACAACCAAAAGGAACACTCATGCCTACCTCAGTGCAGTCATTCAGAAGGGAAACTGTGGTGTCAGTGGGGTTAATATTGATTGTCTTTAGTTCAATTAGGTTATTTAGGGAATTTCCACCTAGAAAAAAAGGGTAGAGTCAGACAGACAAAGGCATTTTTATTATGTGACAGAAGACACTCTTTGGAAGTAAATAAATAAGATTACCTGACACCACAACCAGAGAAGGCATGTAGCTGCTGTCAGCGGGATCTACGATCATTTTTAATCTATGAACAAGAACATCTGGGAAAATCTCCAAACGAATCCAATGCTTTAGGAAAAAAATAAAAAACTCAGTAACTAAAATTCAGCTAGGTTTTAAGCTACTAAGATATTATTATTTTTTTTTTAAAGATTTATTTGTTCATATAGAACTGGGGTACAGGCCAGAGATGCGGAGGGTGAGAGGATTCACCAGGGACAGAGTGGGGAGCAGAACAGGCAGATCGACGAAGTACACTGCTGAGGGGAGCAGCGGGCGGGTCAGGAGAGGTCTGTCCGTCATGTGGTCACCTCCGGGGCAGATGGACATCAAACTCAGGCGGAAGTGGCTTAAGCTTCTTAGTGCAGTGCTTTAACTTGGTGGCCCGCTGCGCCACCAGGGAGGGCCACTACTAAGATATTATTACTAAAGCATGAACCTCCATGAGATTTTCAGTCTATAATGTGGCATGAGAGACAAAACTTGCCACTTTAAGTGGGTAAAAAATATGGATATTCTACTCCATTATTGCTTCTTAAAGGAAAATCTCACTTAAGTCCCAGAAAGGATGTGCTTGTGGCTTCCTGGACTGAGGTGTCCTTTTATACCCATCAAGAAGTGGGTGACAGGAAACAGTAGGGTCACATGGAGAAAAAGCTCCCTCTCTACATCGACCTGCATGTTCTGATAATGGACACCCACCCAGAAGTGCAAGTATGATTGCATTGATCAACATGTATTTGTTGGAAGTCTTATAGTTGTAAGCAGAAGCTGAACTCACACATCTTATGTGGGGAAGTACAAAAACAAAGTAACACCCTGTTCTGCACTCTATCAATCAGTCAGTTGGATGAAATCTGTTACCGATATCTGACAAGAAAAACATGATGGTATGTTACTCTATAACTTTAAAATAATATGAACTAAAATCTAAAATGAGAGCTGACAGGTGCCATCACAGTGTAACTTGGGAGGTTTCAGAGTTCTCTCTGGAGCCCTAACAGCAAAGTCCTGTAAAGGAAATGCCCAGAGGCTGCTACCTTTCCCTGTGACCCAGATGACTGCCAGCAGGGCTCACTGCCATCAATCAGACGAGAAGCCTGGTTCACAGAGGAGGACACGTTGAGGCTCTTCACCATCCGGGACCAGCTGTCTAGTAGCATTCCTGGCTGGCTGTTGTGACAACGCTTCAGCTGCTTTCCAGAACGGCCACAAAATATTGCAGACTGCCCTATTTAATGGCGGTCAAAGAGTTAGCATTCGTGGGACAGAACCCTCGTAACCAAGAAATAAAGAGTACTACATAGTAATGAGTTTCTTACTTCAATTAAAAAAGCAAGTTTTCACCTTAAAAGGAGCCAATAAAGCTCTAAAGTGACTTCAAAACAACTAGTCAAGATATTTTACACCAACTTATAAGTTGCTCAAATAACACTCTCTCCAAGTAGTAAGAAAAGTTTCTACTTCCATTGGTTGCAAATCTGGAAATTCATCCAGCCCTGCCACTGAGGACAACTAGAAAAGGGAGACAACCATTTAAAGATAAGTAAAAATCTGGAGAGTCTCAGAGTTATCAAAACAGTAAAGAGTTAATGGGACCAGACTCTAAGGAGGCCTGAGACAAGTGGAGGTGTCCAGGTCAGGGACCGAGGACATTTGTCAGTTTCTGAGGAGATGATATTTGAAGAAATACTGAATGACTGGAAATTTCCCAAAATTGACAAGATATTAAGCCACAGATTTAAAATATCCTACTCTAAAAGCTGATAAGAGATCTTAAATGTTCACACCACCCATAAACACACATACGCACATATCCTAAATAATCACACTAAACACCTCAAACTTATACAATGTTATGTGTCAATCATAGCTCAATAAATAAAAAGTAAAAGCCATTCTAAGCCCCAAGGCTTAGGTAAATACATATAAAATATAAAAAAAAATTTGTTATATTATTATTGTTCCACAAAAGCAATCTATTTCCTGTTTTGCTGTGCATGCTACACAGTGATGGCCATACAAATAGGAATTTTACAAGAGGAAAATTAAGTACATTTGTGTCCATAATAATTACTACATGAAAACTTTGATGAAAGACAGGACATAACCATTCTGCCATACCTGGTTCATTTATTCTGCCAAATGTATGCCTGGTGTTGTGCTTTCTGGTCTTGAAACAAGTTTCACAAAAGTCAAAGTCATCACAGTTTCTGCATTTGAATCGAGACCCATTGATAGGAAACATCTGACAACCATCACAGCTTTAAAAAAAAAAAAAAAGAAGCAGTCACTTATTAAAGTCACTTCCAAAGAAAACCACTGCTCCCAAAGCAAACTTACAAAAAAAAAAAAAAAAGGCTCAAAACTCACGTAACCCCGGGGTGGACACTGGGCACCAACTCCATTTCAGATAACAGCCCGGTCCAGTGAGACTGCTGAGGAAAGTCGACAATGACATCCTTCCCGTTGGCGCTGAAAGCTAGGACAGAGCAGAAGCCCCTGACACACCTTTATCACCAAGAGCAACCTACAGTCAAACGTAAACCACAGCTAGTCCTCTAACACTCTGCTGCCGTGACTCACTTTCATGAAGAGTTCCTATCTTTCAGAGACATACTGAGACACTTAGAGATGAACGAACACAGATCAGTGAGTGGCCGATTAAAAGGCCGTGACGGGAGGGGGACGTGAGTGAGGCAGGCTCGGCCAGGAGTTGACAACTGCTGAAGTCAGGTGGTAAGTGCATGGAGGCTCAGGGTCGTGGGGTCTCTACTTCTGTCTATACTTTACATTTTCCCCACTAAAAAGGAGGTTTGTTTTTAATTACACCGTCAACACTCCATTTAGCATCTTAAAAATCACATTATAAGGTAAGGTACCTCTTACACGCTTTAGTGAGAGCGTCTTGCTACTCAAGACATTAAGTTTCAAACAAGACAAAATTTAGCTTTGTTTTCACTTGTAGAAGTTTTAAGACTATCTTAAGAATAACATTAAACTAAAGTAAAATCTTAACTAAACCACTTCTTATGTAGCCTGAGGAACGGGGACGCCCCTTCCCACAGAGCAGGCCCAGCATTGCGGCCAACTTCCAAGTCAAGCTATTTGAGGCTAAGGCAGCCTCCTGCAAGGTTCAAAAACAGAGGGGCTATCTTCACTGTCTTGAAAGAGTTTAAAGATAAAATAAAGCCACCTCATATTGAATCATTCCTTATGTAACTATTACAATGGATAGACTATTCCTTTCACGGTGTGTCACATGCTTGATTTGGAATCTTAATAACATTAGATAGAAACTGAGAAGAATTTGTGTTTCCAGTTCCTTAGATCATTTGCACATTCCCGTTCTTATTTTTCATGCTAACCTATACAGAGCATTAAAATGCGCCTGGTGGTGCAACAGATTGGAGCACTGCACTGCGAAGCTAAGCCAAGCCATGGCTGCTGCTTCAGTGTGAGTTCTATCCCGGCCCTGGAGGTGACCCACATGGCACAGCAGACCTCTCCTGACCCCGCCCACTGCTCCCCTCAGTGTTGTACTTTGTTGATCTGCCTGTTCTGCTCCCCACTCTGTTTCTGGAGGATCCTCTTGCCACCCCTGCACCTCTGGCCTGTACCCCATTGCTGTATGCATAAATAAATTAAAAAATAAAAAGTCTTTCTAAAAAATAAGAGAGAGAGAGAAAGAGCCAGTCCCTGACCCAAGACAGCTGGCCTGACACTCATATGTAAACCATTTGACAGAAAGACTGACGAGTTCATAGAACACCACAGACAAGGCCACCACGTGACTGTGATAAATGAGACAACAAAACCATTCTTGCATCATGCCTGATCGAGTTAAATACTAACGCCCATGCCAGCTAACCACACAACTGCATCTCTGCCAATCACCGGCCTCTGTTCTTTCTGCCTCCTTGATAATACTGAGTATACTACAACCCTCAGAAACCACCCCAAAATTATCCCACCCTGCCTCCTTAAGCCCACCCCAAAATATCCCACCCAAATCCATTGCTTCTTTCTTACACCCAATTACTGGTAATGCCCCAGATTCCTGGGGTATTCGTCCTCCCATGCTGCAAGTGCTGATAACTCTAACCCTGCTCTCTGACAGTGTGCTCCTGGCCTAGAAGCGCTGACCCTGTTCTCTGACGGTGAGCTCCGTCCTTGAGGCGCTGACACAGTAAGGACACTGCCTGTGTGTTGTGCGCTGTTTTCACACTTGTTTTTTATTTGCCTTGTATAAAAAAAAAGCGCTTACGTTAGCTGATGAGAAGTTAACATTCGGAATTGTGTTGCCTTGATAATATTACCTTTCACAACCCCTACACTCTGATGAGTCACGGATCCCCACTTGTATTTTGGTGTGGTGACTGAGGCTTTGACACGAACCTTATCACCAATCTTGATGTGGGAAGGAGAACTTGGTGGAGGATAGCCTAGAAATGCCATAGAAATGAGCTACAATGAGCATTCACTTCCAGAAATGGTCTCCAATTAAGGAAAAGCAACAGAACAGAAAGAACATGCTCACCTATCAGTTCCACGTGAATGTACCTAACCCAGTAAGTGCCCCCTTTCTGTTGCCAGTCACACTGCACGTTGAGGTCATGTAACCCATCTCTATCCAATTTGATCACTTTGCCCACATCTCCTTCACAGACTTCTTCATATGTTCGACAACATCGAACCATCATTCCCACCTAAAATTAAGTGAAAACATCATGCTATTGTACAGATGAAATAAAAAGTTACGAGTACATTATTCTATTCCTAAGAAAAGAGTTCTCTCTAAGCATTAAGAATGGATTCCTGAGATCAGTTACACTAAATGGAACCAGGGCATTTTAGAAAACCAGGCAGCTCAAACGGCTGGGGCAGGAAACAAACACGACGACCTTGCAACATCATGTGTCATAAAGCAAGGGAAGTAGAAATGGTAAGATGAATGAGTTCATCCAAAAGGACAATCTGATCAAGAGGAGTGATGGCTGAACGCATCAAATCCACAACGCTCACTTCATCCATCATAATGATAATAAAAGAACAACGGTACCTAATCACTTTTCTAAGTATCAGGGTACCAATTCACCAAATGGAAAGCAGATAAAGGCAGAACAATGGAACAGAAAAGATATCTGTAAACTGTATTATAAAGAGTAATCAGAGTTGACAGGAACATTTTCTTCAAAGAACAGAACTCCTGCTAAGAAATCTTGGAGGGGCTGACAAAGTGAGGAAGTCACTACTCTCTTACCCGTCATGATGGGTCTAGGCGATGACATTAATGGCTGTTGATGTACTGAGAGGAACAACTAACAGGACTTCATGAATGGAGCAGGCTGACATGACCTAACCCTGCAACGCTGCAAACAATGCATTTGCTAAATGAAAACTTGCACAAAGCCACAGGCAAAGCAATTACTCACTTGAATATTCTCTCTCACATATACAGCATAATCATCATTACTCAGGAAATCAGCTCGTTTCTTGTAAGTCTGGCTCTCTGTTACAACAGCACCAGTAGACTACAAAATACGAATACATTTCTTTAAAATGGAGAACCAGATAAACCTACTAAAAAAAGAAGTGTGTGAGCTGTATAGTATTAAAATATAAAGTACCAGATAATATGTTTCCATTATAAAAATAATCATTTTAAAATGATCAGTAGCAGCAGTACAGTAAGCAGAAGTGAATGTCAGAATCTGCAAGTGCAGGGAAGTTGTGAGACATTTCCAAATTAAGCCCGTGAAAACTCAGTCAAGTCAAAAATCAACATCTCATATAAACATGATTTTCTCAGTTAAGCACTTTCTAGTGACTATCCCAAAGTCATCAGGTATCTGAACGGGGGTCCAAGCACAGAAAACCCAGGCAGAGCTCAGTAGCTTCATTGGTACCCAGCAGAACCACAGAAAGGGCTCCACAGAGAAGAAGAACCCTGGCGCAGGACAAGCAGCACTGACCACAGCAAAGGCCGAGTCCTCCACGTCCTCCACCACCTCCTCGTCTGAACAGTCCTCCGAGCCTGTGTCCACATCTGAGAGATCAGTCACCTGCACGTCGGCGTGGTCCAGCAGCCACCCGACCAGGGCCTCTACGCCTAGAGCAAGCACACGAGGTAGAGCCACCGTGAGGCCCTCCTGCCCACCCACCTGTCTGCAGGACCAGCGTCAGACTGCCAGGGCAGGCACAGGCAGTACCTGGCAAGCCAGCGGCATTCCCAGAGGTGCCACCGAGTGACTTCAGTGCAAACTCTATGTTCCTCCTGGGAAACCCCATTTCCATGAGTTGAACCACGATGGGCAGGGCAGGGACAGGCGACTGCTTGCGCCTCTTGGCTCTGACAGGGCGAATGTGCTGCACAGGCACAGGCGTCGTGGCCTCGCTGGAGCTGCAGTCATCAAACATGGGGCTGGACGGGTGCGTGGACTCCACGGCCAGACACTGGCACACGGCGAGCGCGGCAGCCTGGGCAGATGAGAGCGGAGTCAGGAGGTTTCTGGAAGTCCAACAACACAGCAGTGTGCAGACACAAGGTGTGGACTTCTACTGTGAACCACAGTGCAGAAGTGAAGGAAATCAGACGCATGTGTGTTTTTACATGAACAGATAAAATGTGTTAAAAAGCAGCAAAGACACATTTCATGGTCTAAAGCAGAGGAAGCAGCTTTCTTTCTGTAGCTCATCAGTCATCAGTGCCCACGAAGGAAAGCGCCACAGCAGCCCTGCTGAGTGGGAAACAAGCCGAGCCCACGCAGACTGAGGGCCTGGGGGTCAGTGTGTATGTGTACCGTGGGCAGGAGTGGCCCGGAGTCCTCCCAACTCACTTCCCTCTGTACAACAGACCAGAGACACAGGGATCGCACGTGTACCATGAAGTCAACCCAAAGATCTGACAGTGAATGAACCACTCTCAGGGGGCAACACAGGATAAAAGAGGAAGGCAAAGTAAAGAGGATGGGGAAGCGCCTAGAAAGCCCGACCAGCATGTGCACAGCTGGGCAGTGTGGCTGGGCCGTGTGGCTGGGGATGCGCAGCCTGCAGCTCCCTGCTCCCAACTCCACTGCTCTCACAGCACATAAGACTTGCTGTTATTTTAAGTGCACCATTTTTTTTAAATGTAGCCCTCCGTGACAGTTCCCGTCACTCTTAGATCTGGTCACATGTCTCTAGGAGCATGTCCACAACCCCAGTGGCAGCCTGGCCCCCAGCTGAGCGGCACACTCACGGGCTTCGGCACTAAGCAAGGGCTGAGAGCCCAGGGGCTACAGATTAGACATAGCAGGGCTTGGGGAGAAAGAAACAAGCCAGCCGAGCAACATTCCCAGGTCTAATGGGGCCCCGCTAAGAAAAGCATCTCCTGGATAAAGATCCACTGAATATGTGAGCATTGAATCCAGGCTAATTTTGTTCAAATAATTCACACAAACTCAAAGTAAGACTTCAACCCCTTTATTTCTCTAGCTAGTATTATGAGGCACATGTGGGGAAAACCTAAATAGTCACAAGAATCGTTTTGGTTTATCTTTTAAAATTCAGCACATACACTTAAGCAAAGACCCTAGGAAGAAACTGTTCACAGCTCAGCACACTGGACTGAAGCTGCCGAGCAGCGGACTATACCTCGAGCTCCTGTTTGTCAAAGATGGCCTTCACTGGAGACGGCTGCGTGGCTGAGGCCAGCAACTGCTGCAGGAGGATCATTGGGGGCTGCGGCCCTTCAGGAGACATGTCCCCTAGGTCAGGGGACGCAGCTGCTCCGTCATCTGGTTTAAAGCCAAAACATGCATAATGTTATGGTTTCAACTGCAAACAGGTCTCTTCACTAAGGACAATACACTGACTCCTGGGCACGATTTCTGCGTCGTCAAGCACTAGACAACCAAAATCTCTCAGGTTTGGATATCCAAAACTAGCTTCCTGCCCCTGGCTTTTCGATCTCTGTCCTTCATTAGTTCATCTGTCGGGGGGGGGGGGGGAGGCACTCTGTGCCTCACAGCGTCAGGGTGCCTTCACCCAGCCCCACCATCCGCAGGATGCCTGTGAGGGTGGGCATACCCCAGAGAGTAAAAAGCATAAAAAAGGACTATCTTGTTCCTCACAGCACTTAACACATTGTCTTTCAACAGATGATGAAAAGTATTTCACACATTTGGTTTTTCTCTATTCATTGTAAAGGAGCTCATTTTTTAAAAATAAATATGGCAAAGTATAAAGAAAATAAAATCAGCCCAAATTCCACTGTCACTACTTCAGTAAGCAGATAAATCTAGGACATGTCCACAAACAGATTCATAGCAAGATGCTTTCTGGTTTGCTACTGTCACACTTCCATAGCACTGAACACATGTACATATCATCACATACCTTGCTAAAAATGCAGACGTGATTTTACTTTTAAAATACTTTTATGTCTATCCATATAACTGGTAACTTCAATTAGAACACCCAGACCAGAACCATATTTCAAGGATATGAAATGGGAAACTGATACTGTAACTCATTCATTATTAGCATCCCTATGGGATTTACATCTGTGTCTTCTACAGTGAAAGTTCTAATTTACAAGGCTGTAGAACTGCAGTGCTTTTCCAAAATCCTGCTTTGTAGTGTCAGAATACTCTTCAATTAAGCAGCTCCAGATGACTAGAGGACTAAAGATGAAAAATAATAAATTTGCATTGCATTGAGCAATAAATCACAGTCCTTTCTATTAATACCAATCAGGAACAATTTAGAGTAAACACTGTCACAATATGGCCACAACATACCAGTGCCTGTTTTCCCTGAATACTTCTGGGCTAGGGTCTGCGCTTAAGAGTCTGCACCCCTAGTGTGCCGGGCCCTCTGCTGGCCCACAGGGACCACCCTACACACCAAGTGCGCTGCGGCTCCTCCACCTCTCAGAGACCCTCAGTCTTTGCGTCAGAGACAATGAGATCATCCATGCGGGGCCAGGCCGTACATCAGCTTGTACACTAAACCATCTCTCCTTCCCTTTTCATGAAATGACCTTTACCTGCATACTACCTGCCTCTCTGACAAACCTCTAAAAGCTGCATTAAAAGGACACCTGTATGAGCAGCTGCAGCCTCCTGAACAGCGGGCTGGGACAAGATCTGCCTGAGCTGGTCCTGGTGGGACAGCAGCGCACGGCCCGCCTTCAGCACATACAGCTTCAGCTGCTGACACCTCAGCAGGTCCAGGTCCACTTGTCCTGTGGGAGAAAAGGACTCAGCAGGAAGGTCACCCTGGGGGCCTCCTGTGATGCAGCTCGTGATGGTCTCTGCTCCTTGAAGCACAGGGCCCATGCTGTGAGCGAGGAGCACAGACCACACGCCGCCCTGGGGAAATTCACTGACTGGCCCAGTGCTACAGCGGGCACTCCCTGCTGCACACTGTCTACTTCCCAGGTCTTCCCCTCTCTTGCTCCCCAAACACCTCTGCTTCAGTCGGGTAGATGACCTGGTATTAGTATAATAAAAGGTTTCCCAGAATGTTGAAGTTTTAATCACAGATACAGTAACAAACAAAATACTTTCTCCTTTTCTTGCAAAACTCCTGAGTCAATTCTGTCAGACTCATCACACAGTCCTCTAACTCAAGATCAGAGTAATCCCCCAGCCTTCTAGAATCAAATAATTACTGAGATGTTCATAGGCCAGCTGAGGAGCAGATAGAGGAAGCCACTGCAGAGATGCAGGCTGGCAGCTGCATTCCGAAACAAACGTATGGAAGTCACAGGAGGCAGCACGTGACATGCGACAAGAGGAGCACCAGCCTCCGGGGCGTCAAGCTTGACGCCCTGGCAGCGATCTACTCACTAAGATGGGAAAGGCTGGAAGGCGAGAAAGTCAGCTGAATTCTAGACACGCTGCGGGTGACACACACAGTCCTCCAGCCAGACAAGTGCTAGTCAGTTAGAGGTGGTCACCAGTGTAAGTGCTGTAGCATCTACATGAATGCTGTAGCATCCACACCAGTTATGCGGCAGACATGGGAGAGAAAACTCAAGACTGGGCAGAATGAGCCAGAAGTTAGCTATGAGAACGTAAAGATCTACAAGGGGTGAAGAACAGTCAAGGAGAAGAGTTCCAGAGAAGTCACAAGGGCAACGTACGGAAAATCAAGAGCAGCGTCCAGACCAAAGGAAGAACACTGTAGGCAAGAGTGGCCTTGGCCTCACCACGTCCCGCGGACAAAGCGAGGAAGGTGCACACAGGTCCGCTGGGTCCAACAAGCATGAGGCCAAGGCCAACGGAGCCAGAGGATCAACTGGGAGGAAGAGAACATGGACCCTCCCGCCCCCACAAAAAGCTTGCTCAGAAGACTCTTAAGTGTTAAGAGGCAGAGAAAGTCTTGGGGTTCTTCAGAGGCTGCTCTCTCCACAGCGTCACCTTTTACATCGCCCATCTTATCATTGTGCCAAGGCTGTGTGCCTACCATAGTTCACAAACACTGGGCCCTCTGAACCCAAAGATGTAGACAGTGACAGGAACCTGCTCTGACAAAATGATGCTGAAAAAACACCAGTTCAGATTGGTAATTTCTTCTAGAAGGATCACGTACTGACCTGCAAAGCCTTGCTTAGGTGACTTCTTTATTTTGTGCTTTTCCAACTTGCTTCCAGCAAGGTTCACCAGCTGAGCCCAGACAGACAGCATGGGCTCGGTGAAGGGCAGATTGGTGACGCCGAATGCTACAGCGGGAAGCTAAAGAGAGAGCACAGAACCCTTCAAAATGTGACTGATGAAATGACCAAATGAAAGTTGAAAGTTATCCTAACCATGAGTCTTAACTCTGAAACTCCACACATTTCTGTATGTATTTTTACATATGAGAATAAATTTGAAAAGACAAGAGAAACTGTGTATAGTAAACAGGTTGTATGCTTTATCACTTATCAATAGTAATTACATCAGGGTAATGATGATCATTTTCATACATTTTAAATTTTCTACATGTACATAGACCAATATTAATGAAACTAGTATTTTCCAATCAGACTGACTAGATTATATTCAAAGTAATGTAAACCACTCTTTCTAATTCATAAATTTGAAGTGACACATACATCATATGACTCAACACAAATAAGCATTTTCCATGTGAAGAAAGGTATTTTTTAAGGAATCTTTTTTAATTTTTTAAAAATTGTAATTTTTTTAAAAATTATGTCTTTGGAGACAGTAAGACACAAAAACTACTAAGAGCCCTGTGTAGTCCCGGGACACAGGCCCTGTGTGTGGCAGGAGCACCAAAGAAGAAAGGAAGGAAGACAGGAGGTGTTCCTGGGGTCTGCTCGCCCCTAGAAGGCTGTTAACTACCAGGATCAAGTGCTTCCCAGAACTCACATTAGAACCCGGTTCTAGAATAAAACCCACTGACTGGCCTTATCACCCAGGCCCAGAGCGCATGTTAACCTACCGGCTTTAGGTGATTCAAGGGGCAGACGCGACATGTCCGCATGTCTGAGAACTGCACGGTGATTTTGCCCTTCGGGGTGATGCGAATCACGGTGCCTTCCCCAAACTCGTCGTGCACGACCTGGCCCCCCAGTCGCAGGCGACCGTCGATGCCTCCGATCACTGCCAGCACAGCCATAAGGCCCCCCACCTCGAGGTTCTCGGAGTCGGGGAAGTAATCCTCTAACAGAGCCTGGTGCAGACAGACAGCAAGCTTGAGGAGGGCGCCCAGAGCTGCCTGCTCCTCACACACTTCCTGTGAACCCAGTAAGGAAGGCATCTATTTTTAGATACATTTCTCCAGTGAGTAATTCCAGTAGACAACACCGGAAAATCCTCCCTGAATAAAGCGCACAGCTTTCTTAGAAGGCCTGTCGCCGCGGGCTCTAGCTAGAGCGGGACACGCACCCCCTCGGCCGGCTTCCCCGTGCAGCTGCGGGTGACCGAGTGCAGCTGCGAGTTGATGTGCTTGTTGATGAGGCCGTTCCACTGGCCCAGGGAGTGCAACGTGCGCAGCAGCGCCACCACCTCCTCCGCCAGCGTGCTGCTGTGGGTGGCGGTCAGTGAGGCCTGTGGCCGGGCCCGACGCCGCCTCAGAGTGGACTCTGGAGGGAGACAGCACATGAAGTCAGCTACGGGTTCCTGCTCGCTTGGCCAGAAGGCAAGTAAGAAGAGCTGCCCACCTCTGAGGAAGGGGATGTCCGAGGAGCAGGTGGTGAGGAGACTGCCCAGGAAACCAAAGAGCTTTTCCACCAGGCACTTCATGTCCCGCGCCCTGTCCACCTTGTCCCAGGAAGGAAGCACTGCTTGCAGTAAATGGACAGCTAAGATCTAGTCAAAGGCAATTTAAAGGATTAAAAAAAAAAAAAATTATCTAACAAGGAGATTAAATTTTTATTTTTTCTAGTTTCCCTTACTGATATATGATGATAATGCAATTAACCATGTGAAAACTGATATTAGTTCTTTTAGTGTCATATAATCACCCCAAGTTGATATATGATGAGAGTTATAAGGGGTTTAAAAAAAAAAAAGCTGGGGCTTCCTGGTGGTACAAGGGGTTAAAGCACGGTGCTATGGAGCGGTCGGCAGCTACTGCAGTGTGAGCTCCATCCCCAGACAGGGAGGTGACCCACAGGGCGCACAGACCTCTCCTGTCTCACCCACTGCTCCCCTCAGCAGTTTCAGTCGATCTCTCTTCTGCTCCCCACTCTATGTCTCTGGTGGATCGTCTCACCCCCCATACCTCTGGCCTATACCCCAATTCTTATAGGCATAAGCAAATCTTTTTAAAAAAAGATTTACTAGTTAAATTTTTTTTAAGCTGTAATATAAAAGTCTGTATTCATTTAATTAAAAAAGAATTCCTATAAATTTAATTCTTCTCCAGATAATTACACTATAACTCCTATGAAACAGAGAACAGTTGGCAGGATTTATCACTTCACAGAGAGTGAGTGGATGAAAGTTAAGCACCTTATCTATCCCACTGAACTTCAGGCCCTTGCTCCCAAAAGTTTCCTTTATGCTAGCTCCAGTCCTCGTCTGCTTTCCTAACTGAACAAAGAAAGACACCCAGGAGGCAGGTTGGCATCCTAACGCCCCTCTGAGAGCTTCCCAGTCCTTAAACGCAGCAGAGTGAGGCCCAGCCTGGCAGCAGTTACCTGGCGCTGCAGCGAGGCGGCGGTGAAAGGCGCGTGTCCCTCCACGACCTTCATGAGCAGCGAGATCCACTGTGGGGAGCTGAGGGCGGCGCACATGTGCGGCGTGAGCGCGATGCTGCGCACGAAGCCCAGCGTGCACCAGCTCCGGTGCTGCTCCCGGCACACCAGCCTGCCGGGGGAAGCTGCGGGGCCAAACACAGCAGCTTGGCACCCAGACTCCCAAGACATACTCCGGGCAACCTCCACTCTCGCTTGGCCCACACCACTGGCCTTGCTCAGACCAGCCCCACCCAGCTGTGCTCACGGCTGTGCTCCAACCAGCCAGGCTGACCCCACACACACCCCCACCACACATCCTCCTCGGTCACTAGCCCGAGCACACTCACCTGTCACACGCCCCCCAGATGCATGCAGACCCACACATGCTCACAGACACCGGGTGCCAGCTCACAGGCACTCACTCCTACCACACATGTACACGCGTAGTCACTGACACAATTACTCAGACCAACAGATATTTACATGGACTCTCACAGGCACGTGATCACTGACAGTCACACAACCACACGCAGGCACACTCACACTCACTCATGGGCTCATTCACACTGACGCCCTCAAATTCATCTCCACACACAACCCTCACACACTCACACACATGTTCACCATGCACATTCATACACACGTCAAATACACATGCACCTAAAGACATCCCACACTTTCACAGCGCTCGTGAACACACATACGCCCACATACACGTCCGCACTCAGACTCACACCCACACATCTCACATTCTTAGTCTCTGATGTGGCAGCCCCAAATACAGGCCTAATATAGGCCCCACATTTGTTCATTTGTCAGGCAGTCTTCAGCCACTAATACACGGACACACGGACCAACTCACAACCCCCATCCTGACTGTGGGCCCCCCCCTATTCATTGCGTACATGTTTTGTCCATGGTTCCACTTTCCACTAACATTCGCAGCAGGCCACACAGAGTCTTGGTGGCTTCACTCTGCATGATTTCAGCATGGACTCCCGCAGAGAGACAGAGAGTCTGCAGTAGATTAATAGTACTGGTAAGCATCATCGCCGTGGGGTGAACATTCTTTTCAGTATGTTCAGCTTCTGAAAAAAAGAACAAAATAAGAAACTGCACTCCTAAATAGAACTGGCAGCTGTCCATGCATTTAGTTTAAGGGCTTTCATTTCACATTCTTTATTTTTACTGTGGAAGGGAAGAAACTCATTACAAGAGAGAGAATTTAGGGTGTACTAAGCACATATCCTATTCAGCTCTGTCCCCACCATCCCCAGAGAAGACAAATCTTTTAAATTATAGTTTAATTTTTTAAAATAATCTCAACAGACAGCTCAGAAGTGCTGAAACAATTGAAAGGGTTTCATCCTTTGGAAAAGCAAAGTATCAGATGTCAAAAGCAGGCTGTGGGGCAGTCAGTTACGGCCCAGCTGAGGATGCTGTGCTTGCCTCCAGACTGGCCTGCTCAGGCTGCTGGCTGTGGGCTAGCGGGCCATGGCAGATGGGTGACCACTCTCTCACGTGGCTGCCCTACCCAGACCCTCTCAAGCAGAGCGCACGGAGGACAGCCAGGCTGGCGCTAAGCAGTCAGATGCCAGGCTCACAAAAACCAGCCTGGCCACGGAGATCCACATGGGTCCTCCGAAACCCCAGTGAGGCAGGCACTTCTGCATAATGCTCAGGGCCCAGCTCCCACTCGTGACAGGCACACAGCCTATGGCTTCACCGTCGCACCACCATGCCCTGCAGACTGGGTGCTGCCCAGGCTCCAGCTGAGCCCAACAGTAACGATGGCTCCAGAGTGCTCTGGGCACGTGCTGGCACCTGAGCAGGTAGTCTGGGCCCTTAGATGGTGTCACTGGAACCATCTAAAGTACAAGAAACTTTACTCACACATCCTGAGGTCTTCCAATCACATCTAAAAAAATGTCCTGAACCTCTCCTCCCACAGCCCTGGATTTAAGTTTCACTCCATATTCTCAACCCCACTGTCTTTGAGGCACTAAAGTCCTGAAGCTCTCCATACTGGCTGAGTGCAGGACCTCTAAGGAAAGGTGACAGGAAAAGACACGGCCAGTGCTGATGGGGCTCATGACACAGCCAGGCAACCTGCTCCACCAGGCTCTGCTCACTACCTCAGCAGTTCAGGCTGGCATGGTGGGGCCTCAGAGGTGAGCACACAGCAGCCCTGCGCTGCCTCACCCCACCATGCCACAGGTGTCCCCGAGCCCGCTGTCCCCTGCGTCAGTGTCACCAGCGGCGTACTTCACGTTTGACAGCCAGCCCAAGCCAACAGAGCACTGTCTGCAGCTGAGTCCAGCCCTGCTCTCACTCCCATTCAGACAGTGCTTGCTGGGCCCCTCCCCCCCGGAATGATGACCCCAGGCACCCACCAGAGTCATCCTCAGTGTCCGAGTCCTCTGCCGAGGGCTGCGTGGAGGCCGGCAGCTCGGCCAGCTTGAGGTCATACTTCCCCTCTTTCCCCATCCTGTAGGAGTTGGTGCTGCCCGTGTCCCACTGGACCCGGATCCACCCATCTTCTCCCAGTTCACCGATCACACGGCCGAGGCCCGGAGGCGGTCCGTCCTAGGGGAGCCGAAACAAAGATGAGTTAAGAAGGTGCTCCCTGCCTGCCCTGTCACACGGAAGTCACCTAAAAGGGTGACCGGGTCACCTGCATATGGTGCATGTCCACAGGCTGCTTCAAATCCACCTGCAACAGGCGCAGCACCTCTCACCTTTGGCTGAACGCCAGGAAATGACTTGCTCGTGAGCCTTCCCAACGAGGTCGGCAGGGAAAGCATCCTCTTAGTCTGTGTCCCATAACAAATGAAGACAGCAGGCTCCCCAGCCCGGCGCTGGTGCCCTCTCCCTGGGCCTTCAGGGCTTCAAGAGCCCAGACACCTGAAGCTAAGTAGCAGCCTCTCCACATCCCTGCTCACTCTTGAGTTTTCCCTCTCATCGCCACGGGTAAAAGCTGCTCCTAGGACACTGCTACTGTGCCTGGACACTTTCATTTCTGTGATGATGCTGACAAGGCCGCTGCTCAAAAGTGAGGCTGAGAGCACCTGGATGGCGGGAAGCTAGTGACTGTGGTAATGGAGCTGACATCAGCCCTCACGACCTCCAGCTGGAGTACAGACAATGGGAATGGCGTAGGCTTAAAAGCAATATAGAAATGGTCACTGCCCAACTGGTACATCTGAAACTGCTGGGCTGGGGAGCCCAGCAGGTCAGAAGCACCCAGAGACACGCCACCCTGGAGTTGTCAGGCCACTGTTACTCTGATGAGCCTGCCTCTCTCCTCACTCTCGCTCTTGTTCTGGGCTGAGCCACATGATAGGGGTTCTCTCCTGCTGAGACGCCCCATTAGCGGGCTGCTGTCATCCTCTACTTGTTTGGATTCAGTGCAGTCCCCTTGCTCAGGAACTGCCACGACCTCATCTGCCAGGCACATGTCCCCGGAGGCAGTGGCTCTATATGAGCTTCCGCCCATTCGCAGCAAGAACAAATGCAGGGTGCCAAGTGGTGGCTACTGAGCTTAACAGAAATCTGAGTACCTGGTCGCCCCATTTCCAGTCCACACCTCTCATGACCCTGGTTCCAATCTTCATCATGGCGGCCAGCTCTGGCCCTGAAACAGGGAGCTGCACGGGAGTGGTTTCCTTCCTTGTCTCCTCCAAAACGGTCGCAGAAGCACCTCGGGCAGCAGCGTTCATATCATCGTCCACGCTGTCACAACTAGGCCCTAGCAAGCATCAAGAACAGCCGCTGAGCCAACAGTATTGCTGGGACCACTGATAACCAAAAGTAATATAACAGAAAACCTGTCTCACATCATTTTTAAAAATTATCTTAAAATGGAGCAAAGACCCAAGTAAAAGAACAAAACAACAAAATTTACAAAAGAAAACAGAGCAATCCTTACAATCTTGGATCTGGCAACTTATTTCTTGAGACACGATACCAAGAACACAGGTAGCAGTAACAAAAAAGATAAGTTGGGGGGGGAAGGGAGGGAAATGCACGGGACTATGGTGGTGGCACAGGGGTGATTTGGTGATGGGAAACCCATGGGGATTACAATTGAGATGAAAAAAAAAATGT